TCATTAACTATATGCGTACCAATTTTTATCCAAGTCTGTTCAGTAGTGTTTGCGCGATTGTGTAATGCAAATACAAACAAACAAACATACAAACTTTCACATTAAGAACTTTAGTAGGGTTGAATGCAAATGATACGTACTTACAGTCACACTAATTCTATATTAGGTATCCTATATCTGTTGATGTTGTCCAGACACAATAGTTTAATGAAACATTAGTAACAATTAATAACCAATCACACCTACAACGTTTTCCGAGTATTAAACAGGCTTTTACTATCTACACGTGTTAAGTAAACAGCCCAGCATATTTAAGTTTGTCTTTGGCTCACGACCAGTTTAAATGTAACATTCTCACGTAGACATGAAGGAAGACGATGGATTGAAACACAATTAAGAATTATGAATATGAATGACCACATATAAATGGTAAATAAGGTAGTTACAGACACGTCACGCACGAGCAGTTGCTGGTGACGTGTCTGTTGAAGCATTTTATATTTGAAAATAGTTTTATTTTAAAAATTAATAGAATTTATAGATAGTAGTGGTACATTGGTACGAAATTATAATAAAACCTATACATTACTTGTTCAGTTTTGTATTGTTACTTGTACCAAATTGTTGATTTTAATAAATATTAATATTGCAGTAGCTCGTAGACTTATAGAGGTAGGCATTTCTATATTTTTCATTTTTTTTAAGAAACGTGAAAAAAATAGAAAAATAAGCTATCAATCTCGTGTTTATAACAGATTCTTTTAAAATTGGAATTAGATAATGTCAACTTTGAAATTGGAGTCAGTAGTGCAATATTGGTCTGCCGTTTTTTTGTATATAAAAAGGGTAGAAGACCCACCTGATGGCAAGTGGCCGCCATAGTATTCGCTATGTGCGAAGTACATGGTGGGGGTATAGTGAAGCGATCGCAGCGCTTATCGTGGCAGAAATACGCAACAATCCGGGAAAGTAAAGTCAATTTGCACGGAGTTCGTAATAAACAAAATTTTTTTAAAATGCCTATTAATAGATGTTGTTGTGTTGTGAATTGCAAAAATAAGGGCACAAATAGTCTGTGTATATATTTCCTACATTGGACTGGAAATTAAATCAAAGAAATAAATGGATAGATGCCATAAAAAGAAATAAGTAAGCGAAATAACCTTAAATTATGATCAATTTTATTTGCGCTATATATTTTATGTGATATTCATTATTGTCTTTATTATTTTAGTGTTGATGGGTCGCCATGGTATCCCAAACCTGACGACACAATTTGTAGTGAACATTTTATGGGAAACAAAAAATCAGACGAGGAAGAAAATCCGAGTTATGCTCCTACGATATTCCCTGAAATATATCGAAAGAGGAAGGTTAATGATTCACAGGTCCTAGCTAGATATACACGCTTGACAAAACGAAGAACCACAAAAGTCTCAGATACCACATCAAGTCAAATAATAATTGAAGAAGGGAGTGAATTAAATCAAACTCAACCTTTTATGATCGATCAAGGATGTCAAGTCAATATGTTTTCTGAATCGAAATTAAGAGATACAACTTTTATTTGTATTAGATTAATTTACAGTGATCACTGTGATCCAACATCAAGAATTTTAATGACAAATAATTCAAGAAAGAAAGATAAAAGCTGTGGCACTGACAAAAAATCGTATGAGGATCAATCTACCGAAACAAAAAGTCAAGAATTTGTTGGTATTTCATCAATAACAAATGATCAAGAACTCCTAGATCCTTCTGGTGTGTCATTTAGCAATTTTGAGTTTTTATTAACAAGATTAACTATGAGAAAATGTACAGTTTCCACTAAAGACCGACTTCTGATTTTTTTGATAAAAATGAAAACTGGCTTGACATTTTCATCATTGAGTGTGTTATTTGGTGTACAAAAAAACCACAATCTCACGTATATTTCATTCGATCTTACAAAATCTAGCTTGTTCAACTGCTAATTTAATCTTTTGGCCGAATAGAGCCACCGTACAAGCACCAATGCCCAAGTGTTTCAGTCCAGATTACATCAATACAAGAGTTATTATTGACTGTACTGAATTCCGAATTGAAATCCGACATTATTTAAATTATTATACAATATATAATAATTTTTATTTATCTTTACCTTACTATATTTACTAGAAATCAATAAAATACAAACTGATGTCATTATTTGGCATAATCCCGGAAAGTTGCGCATTGTAGGTGGCGCTACTGTCGTGCACATAGCGAATATAGCCGCTTGCAGTACCAAAGTAACACATGCGCCGACGACCTACGCGAACTCCATTCCCTAGGAGTCCCTAACTCTAGTCCGTAGGAGTCCTGAAACCTTAGGCACCGACAGAGCTTTTATTTAACTTGCAATTATTATTATGTATGTCTATGTTTGTTCGGGTGGAATATTGCAACTTAATTTTGAAGCAAATATCTTCAATGAATTAAGCTGAATATTTGTACACACGTTTTAATATAGGTTTGTTACCTATATTGTATATAATAAAGGGCTTGCTGAGAATATGGGGATTTGGAGTACTCGATTATATCCATCGATAACTAAATAGTAAAAAATAAATTAAAAGTAATTCTTTAAAACTTCTACTATCAACTTATAACCTCATTACACAATTTATATAATATACAAGCTTGTCGCGAGAGTTACCTGCGTATCAAAATTGGATCTGTTTTTCAAACTAAGGAAATACCAGTATGTACCTACTTAAAGGTGACAAGCTTTTTCATTATATAAATTGTATAATGACGTTATAAGTTAAAGTTTTAAGATAGTAAAAGTTTTAAAGGAAAAATTTATTTTATTCTTTTTAGCGCATTTAAAAAAAAGCTTGTCTTTTTACATTTAATTCTATCTTAGAAATGTCGAGTACCTAAGTAAAACGCGATGCCACAGACAAGACTTAAACTTTGCACTTAAGATTATATAATGATTATTTGCCCGGTTGTATTTAATGAATGTTAGGCATGAGCAATTAAGAGCCCTTTCACATTTTTTGCAAAAAATTGTAATTTTTGAGCGCCTCGTTTAGAAAAGAATTTTTTTTGACTATATTCAATAGAAGTAAACAGTAAATTTATTCTTCCTATTGTAAGTTAATGTAGAATATTTGCAAATACTATTTTCCTTTTTTGTACTGATCGTTCTACTGCAGCTAGTTTACGGAAAAAACGATAATATGCACAACTTTAAACGCCTCAATACCTCAATAACGTTCAATAAATTAGATCAAATTAATTACTACGACATCAGAAATATGTTTTTGTTGTAACATACTGTATTAGAATTTTGATTTTCCATCTCATTAATTATCAAAAAAAACATCTAACCTCCGTGTTTTCTAAAAAAATACTGCAGGTTTACCTCGTATTTTGATATTGAATTACATATAATTACTATCAAAAACTTTCATAAAACTAATCTAGCATCATTGAACTACTGAAATATGTATATATTTTTATAATTAATTAATAAATAGTTATTTTATAAGACTCGAAACCTCACCCGTAAAATGCAATATACAGGACGTCCCACGGCTACCTCACACAGAGGGAAAGTATATTAAATATTGAAGATAGGATATTTTACTGCAAGGAGACATCGTTTTATTTTTAATAGTAACTATAACTGCATACACAGATTTTTTTAAAATCGCCTGCCTTAACTGGGAATCAAACTCGTGAAATTTCGATAAAATAAACACAACATATTTTATGATAACCATCGAAAGGGTTAATCATAAGGATTATTTTTTGCTAAATAACATAGCATTTTAAACGAAAAAAAGTAATTTAATTAAACATTTTATTTAAAATTATTGAACACAAACTAATATAAAATCGGATACGCCTCAAAGTAAGTTGAAATGTTGAGTTCATCATCATTGACGTTTGTCATCCTCTGCTTGCTATCTAAATAAATATCTATCTAAAATATGTTGTATTTTTTTTTTAAATTTCACGAGTTTGATTCCCAGTTTTAGCAGGCGATTTTAAAAAAATCTGTGAATGCAGTTCTAGTTATTATTAAAAATAAAATGATGTCTTCTTTCAGTAAAATATCCTAACTTCAATATTTAATATACTTTCCCTCCGTGTGAGGTAGCCATGGGACGCCCTGTATACTAGTGCAAATCTACATACGCGCCGATCGGTACGACACGACAGAGCGGCGCAAATTTGTAAAAGGGCTCTTAAGGCAGATCTGCGGCGGAAGCTTAAAGCGTTTAAAACTTCAAAATCAGAGTCTTATGCCATACCAACGTTTCGAATCCAATGTCCAAAAAGATAAAAATAATCTGGAACCATTAATTATGCAAACAATTAGCTTTATCTGGGTAAATTTTTCAGACACATTTAGTACAAACTCCCTCAAAATCTGATGATGGGCCAGAAACGAAATTTTGGAAGACTATTTTAACTTTACAACGTCAGAGATGCACTAAAATAAATGTTTGAAGTTTTTTTTATAGATTACTTAGATGATAACGTTTTTCAGATTGTTTTTAATCATTTGCCGATTTTCACACAAAATTTTATTTTTTTTGAATGATCATCAAACAAATAGTAAACTCACCTAAACATTAGGTTACCAATTATATTATTTTGAGGATATTCTAAATATTTTCCATATCTTTATTAGGTACGTGTTATTAATGTAGATAAGAATTGTGCACGATGATGGTTTTTCCTTACATTGCATGTAAATATTCCTCCACTTCAGAATAAGTTACGTTGTTCTCATCATATTACAAAACATCTCTTTGTCTATCAAATAATTTTTATTATTTTTACAATCATTTCTTTATAATAGTTATAGTACCTATCAGACGCATAGCAAACCTTTAGGGCTATCATTAACTGTAAAGTATCTTAACACGCAGGCGTCGTGGTTTCTTATTAAAATTTATTTTACATTTCTAAATATATACTGGGAATAAATACCTTTAATAAAACAAAAATAAAACACTTACATTAACTTTGATATATTTGTGTACTCCATACTTCGGGTCGGTAAGACATGCCGGTGGTTCAAGTTTCCTTTTCAGCGGTGTACTGAATATGAGATCTTTCACATAACTTAAACTAATAATCAAAAGTGTTAGTAAACTGTAGAACACAGTCAAAAAGTTTACGAAAACAAAACGAGTGATAACTAGACGCAATTCCATTTCTGACGAGATATGAGTGAAGTTTATATTATGAGGCGTGTGTCAAAGTCGACCGCACAAGGCAGACTGCCAATGCTTAGCAACATCATGGCCTCTTCGTAAAGATAAATTAAGCCTAAGTGAAGTTCAAAACCCAGTTTAAGGTCTTCTTACCTTCGCGTAACTTTATGCGGTCTCGGTCTCTCAAAAACTACAAGCCCAACCTTAACCGGTTATAATTAAAATAATACAATGCCAAGACAGGTTTTTTTTTAATAATTTAAATACCTGTCGAATAAATTCACGAATAGTAAAAAAATCATATACTTAGTAAAATTATTTGCAAACATACATAGGTAATGATAATAATTTCTAAATGAATATTAATATTGAACGTTCGAATAACGTATTGGAGTTCAATATTATTTGACTGTTTAGAAACTTGAAAAATTAATTATTTGTAATGTTTGTATTATAATCAAAACCTATTTTTTTTCTGTTCTAGAACTGTTAGCATGAAGAAACCATCACATTACAAAATAATACATCATAAAAATTGTAGGTAAATGGCACGTTTTATTTGTTTATATGTGTTGACGACCTCCGTGGCCGAGTGGTTTGTACGCCGGGTTTCATGGTGTCACAGACTCGAGAAGTCCCGGTTTCAAATCCCGGTGGCGGCAGATGTTTGTGTGATGAATATGAGCAATTTGTACTCCAGTCATGGAAGTTTAATATGTATTTCCATAAAAATATACTTATATATGTATAGTATATGACATTCTATCCGTTACCCTACAATCCCATAACACAAGCCTTTTATAGTGCTTACTTTGGGGCTAGGCTAATTGGTGTGAGTGTTGGAAATATTTATTTTATTTATTTATTTATTTATTACTTGCCAAGTTACATAGACATAATTTAATTAATTATTACAAATTCACTGTGGCCTTTAAGGGTTAAACACCCGAATGCGACCTAAAGAAGTAACCAACAAAAATCAGTGAAATACAATTGAGATAAACCGATTTGTAACTTTTGAAATAGAATGATTGTAAGTGTACACCAAACTAATACTATTGGCTGTACGGTACTCCACTAGGATATTTTTAAGAACCCGGCATTTTGAGGGTATAACTTTACACCTTTAGACAGTAATTTTATATGATCATACGTTCATACCATTAAGATTCTCATAAGCTGTCAATATATTAAAAAGACGCTAAATACGGTAAGAAGGCATTTTTGACATCTGCACTAATAGTCCAGTCAATGAAGGTTTTCACCTCCGATTTCGTTGAATCTCCATCGATTTTCATGAAAATTGGTGAGTAGGTGGGGAATATCTTAAGAAACAAAAGTGACATACTGTCAACTTGCGCTTTTGCGCTGGGGGTAGATCCACCCCTTCTTAGAGGTGAAAATTATTTTATTAAAAATAACTCCAGGAATCGATAGAGAGACAAATTCTTAGCAAAATTTGTTATATAAAGTTGATTTTGAATTAATCAATACTTTCCGAGTTATTTTTCATAAGTAACTCAAAAACTATGAGTTTTTACAAAAATGTATTATAGATAGGTCCGACAAATGACTCCATCCCACCTGATGTTAAGTGGAGGTGAAGTCCAGACGCGAAGATAGCTGATACAGCAGTTCTACCTGCCACACCAGCCATCCTCACCCTGCCGGCCTGCATGTTGCTTCTTCACGCCTCTTTTAAAGGATCCCAGGTTGTAAGAGGGAGGGAACACGTGAGCGGGCAGAGCATTCCATTTACGGATAGTACGACAAAGAAATGAGTCACCAAATTTCTTTGTACGCGTTGGAATTGTAGCCACAGTTAGACGGTGACAACGTAAGCCAGCGCGCGTGGTCCTCTGAAGGAAAGGCGAAGGTGGAATAAGAGAGAATAACTCCTCAGAACACTCGCCGTGGTACAGACGATAGAACGCGCTTAGTGACGCCACGTCACGGCGTAATTGAAGAGGCTCGAGGTGTTTAGACACCTCCTCATCACCTATGATGCGTATTGTGCGCCGCTGTAACCTATCCAAAGCATCGAGCAAGTACTTGGCGGAGCCATCCCAGAGGTGCGAGCAATATTCCACGCAAGACCGAACCTGCGTCTTATATAACAAGCATAGTTGCTCGGGCGTAAAAAAACGCCGCACCTTGTTCAGGACTCCGAGTTTGCGTGAGGCTGTTTTTATCACACTTTCGATGTAATTTTTTGGATTTAAGTCACAGCGAATCTCCATACCGAGCATGGTGATACTGCTCTCTAGCTCCAGTGTTGTGCCCTGAAGAGAAGGACATAAAAGGAATGGCGACGTTTTTGCCGTGAAAGCGCAGACCTGGGTTTTCTTAGCATTGAACTCAACCAAGTTCTTGGTACCCCATTCAGAAATGTGGTCCAAAGCCTGATTGAGTTCAATGACAAGATTCTCCCGTTTCTCCTTGGTTACCGCCTGCCCAGCCGCTGCTTGTCCGAGATACCCCGCATGCACTGTACTGTCGTCTGCATAGCAATGAATATTCCCAAGAGGAATTAGGTCATTGATATGCAGCAGAAAGAGAGTGGGGGATAGGACGGAGCCCTGGGGAACGCCGGCATTCACTGACATGAACCGCGAACTGCTACCATCCGTAAGGACACGAATTCTACGCTCATGCAGGAAGTCAGCTACCCAAGAACAGAACTGGGCCGGCAGACCGTATGCCGGAAGCTTGGAGAGAAGGCTTTTGTGCCAGACCCTGTCGAATGCCTTGGCAATGTCTAGGCTGATAGCCAACGACTCGCCCCGCTTGTCGATAGCCTCACCCCAGATATGAGTCAAGTACGCTAGAAGATCACCCGTCGATCGTTTCGGTCTAAAACCATATTGACGATCATTAATCAGGGAGTGATCCTCTAGGTAGCGGGTCAGATGGTTGTTAAGGACCTTTTCTAGGACTTTACATAATACTGAGGTGACTGCTATTGGCCGGTAGTTTGCCGGGTCTGAGCGATCCCCTTTTTTGGGTACCGGTTGCACGTTAGCATTTCTCCAAGTCTCCGATTATTACCGAAATTGAAGCTAATAAAAAAATAAACATAGCCCTACTTTAAAAAACTTTCTAATATTAATTCAAAGTGAGCTATAGGTAATTGTATGCATATTTTTTTTCGGCGAGTACATAAATCTAAGTACTTAAACCTTTTTTTTCTTTTTTTGTGTCTGTTAAATGCTTCAACCACCGGGGGAGCGAGGAGAAGGTATTTGGGACTCCACCCTGCTCATTTCAGCCAGCCCTGGGGCCGGATAAAATGAGCAGGGTCCTACCTATAGCCCTAAACAGGGCCTCTAAAAACCAGACAATACTCCTGCACTGTTCACCCGGCACGCATTCTGGGGACCGAGGTCCCCCCAATGCGCGCCGGAAGTGCGGGCGTGGTTGTGGCACCCGATTTCCAACTGGCCACGCAAGTATTCAAACCTAAATAACGGGAAACCGATGCATTTTATGACATATACTTCCTGAACACTTTTTAAATTCCTCAAAAATACCTTTCTAATAGCATCAAAATTGAGCAAGTTATGATGAAAAAAGGATGACACTTTCGATTTTTTTTGGAAACGAAAAATAAAGCCATCGCCATTTCCAGAAAAAATCAAATTTGAAAATATAAAGGGTTAAAGGGTCCCGGTTACATGGTTCTCGCAGTAAAAGTTAGGCTTTAAACGTCTCTATCTCGGTTATTTTTCATCCTATAAAAATAAAATCGATGGAGGTTCAACGAAATCGGAGGTTGTAGCTGATTTTTGCCTTCATTGACTGGACTATAACACAAAAACCGTAACAAGAGTATCTGGAGTTCCTCCAAAAAAATGCTATTATAACGATTAAAGCGTAATCCACAGGTTCTTGTTCACGGTTGAACCTTTATAAATGGTAAATAATGTTTAATGTTCCGAGTTACACCAAAAGTGTTAACTTAAATTGCTACTTGTGCTACTGTTTTAGATCATCATAAAATTCTTTTATAGTATTTCTCATTGGAAAGTGCTTTATTCTTTATTTAAAATATTATTATTATTAAAAATGAAGCAGAAAAGACCTCATTATTGTTGTACTACTAAGCAGGCTGGAAAAGTGTACGCAAATCCATTTTAAACGCGCTGAGCGCGAATGTACAATCCGTATTGTATTTCTTTAGAATCGGTCAGTATCATTTTGCAGTCGTTGCTATATTTTTCTTTAGCATTGTACTATCAGCTTTCTGAATATTAATTTTGAAAAAAGAATAAAAATAAAAAGCTTTCTTATTGTTTTATTTTAACAGTTTTTATTTGTTTTACTATCTAATCGAAACGGTGTATATGACTGATAATAAAGATTTATCGACACTGCTAGAATTAAAAGAAACTACTACAAAACCTTAGCAGTCATTGAGAACCTATTAGTCGTGAAATCAAGATTATGCTCCCAGGCAAAAGAGCATGTAATGTAACAACTTTAGTATTCAATTTAAGAATGTGTCTTTTATTTCCTTTTTTAGTTTAAAGTACTATGTATCCCTTAAAAGAAAGTGCTATTCCCAACTCGGTTGTATTAAGGCCTCAAACTACACCCTCGTTGGTAATCGGTTACTTTCACTCCTCGGTGAATAATGTACTATTTTTTACTATAAGTGACATAATTTTGATACTATTTAACTGACAAGAAGGAAAGACAACCAAAAATCCTATTACATAAAAATCCTATCAGTTACTTTACGTGAACATCAAACAAAGCTGACACAAATTTTATTGAAAACCTGTTATGTTTATGACAAACAAAAGTAAGAATATATTAAAAAAACATAAAATATTAAGCCCAGAAACGTGTCACATAATCCCAAACTATGCTAAATGTAACTTGCACAGACTGATTAATAATATTATTGTTTGTACAAGTAGTTTCACATAGTAGCTACAACCAGTTATAAATCATACCTTGAATTTTCATTTAAATTGAAAGATTATAATACCAAACGTGAAAGTGGACAACGTTCTCCGAGAAACATAACTTAATAATTATTAACCAAAACAATGGAATAAAAATAGGACTTCACCTATGAAATTGCCGTTTGCTGACGCGTACAAAGAAATTTGGTGACTCATTTCTTTGTCACACTATCCGTAAATGGAATGCTCTGCCTGCTCACGTGTTCCCTCCTTCTTACAACGTGGGATCCTTTAAAAGAGGCGTGAAGAAGCAACATGCAGGCCGGCAAGGTGAGGATGGTGAGGTGGCAGGTAGAACTGCTGTACCAGCTATCTTCACGTCTGGACTTCACCATCACTTAACATCAGGAGGGGTGGAGTCATTTGTCGCACCTATCTATAAAAAAAATTCAAGTCCTTTCTTTTTACGCTAGGAATTGTAAGTTCAAATCATTTAGATTTTTTAAATATGGTATTCTTTTATGAAAATTAGTCATTTATTTAAAACAAAGCCGCAGAAGCGGCACGCAAAATCAACGACGTATACGGAGCGAACACTACTAACGATCGCACCACCACCCGTTATGGGTTTGTCCAATTCCGTTCTAGAAAATTTCGACCTAAGAAATTAACCCCGTAGTCGATCTTTAGTCGACAATGACGAATTAAAGGCGATTGTGGAAGCTGATAATTCTCAATCTACAGCTCAATTAGCTTTTGATGTTAGCGCCAAAACAATATTGGTCCATTTGCGTCAAATTGGCAAGGTAAAAAAGCTTGACAAATGGGTGCCCCACGAATTGAATTATTGCCAGCGCGAAGTACGCGTCGAATCGAGCCTTGCACTGCTCAACAGTAGACGAACGAAGACATATTGAATAATGTTACTTACGATGATAAATTAATTCTTCTCGACAATCGCAGGCGCTCAGCAAGTTGGTTAGTCCCTGGTTCAGCACCTAACAATGTCCCAAATAAAAACTGACCCCTAAAAAAGTGATGGTCACTGTTTGGTGGTCTAACGCCGATATCATTCATCACAGCTTCTTACCAAACGGGATCCGCATTACTGCAGATGTGTATGCATTACTGTGAAGAACTGAAGACAATGATGGAGAAGCTCGCACATCTCCAACCAGCTTTGGTCAATCGTTCGGCTCCGCTGCTCCAACACAACAACGTGCGACCTCATACTGCACGGCAGACTATCTTCAAGTTAAAAGAGCTGGGGTTGGAAGTTCTCCGTCATACACCGTACTCACCAGACTTCGCCCCTTCAGACTCTTACTTTTTCCAGAATTTGGATAACTTCTTAGCGGGGAAAAAATTCAATAACCCAGAGGCAGTTCAAAGTGCCTTTGAAGAATTTATTACCTCCTGTCCAGCAGACTTTTTCAAAAAGGGCATCAATGATTAATAAAAATATAGAAAAAAGGGTGTTTATTCATTTCATGAAAAACGGCAATTTCATAGTTTTAGGCAAAGACCTAATATTATTTTTTCCAATTAACAAAAGAGATCCAAAAACTATCACATAAATAGTACATAATGCGCAGCGTGTATTCTACCGCTAATTAATTGTCTTTGGCCTTAAGCCTATGGAACTACATATATCGTACGTATCGTAATGCACCTACTTAAACATATATTTTTAATTACGAAGTGGCACAAACAAATCTAGTAAAATGTTTCTTTGATACCTGTATTCTTGAATTAAATCTCTACTTTCTAATAATTAGGTATATTTTGAGCTTCTAAGAAGCTAACAGACTAAGCAAAATAGAGTTATTCCGTTGTGAATTATAATAAAATGAAAAGGTCACTAATGACTACACAGTTTTTAGGAATAATATTAAATCCAAATAATTTCAAGAAATAATAATAAACAATACAAACCTCTTAACTAGGTATTCATAAACTGTTTGATATATCATGTATCGTAAACTTTAACAAGTATAGGGGTGGCTGTAGGTTGACCTTACACGGTCTGAATCTTTCAAATTTCTTGTTTTAGATGCATCTGTGATACTATAAATAAAATGATTAGGTAGAAAAATATTAAATCTGACCTACAAAATGCGACCTATACTTTGTCTTGTATTACACGAGCAAATATAACTAATTTAATACAGATAAAAGAAATCAGCATGACTTCTTTTCCCTGTTACGATCGTAAGACAACAATAATTGCTTTCCTTCATTGCGGTCGATATCCGGTGCTATTAAGCAGAATATTTGTATGAACAGGACTAATTCTGAACAAATCGTTGAATAAAATATCTACTTCTTCTGTTGGTTCTGGCAATTGATCTAAACGTATTTCTCTAAAGATATCATGACTATTCAACATTTTCGGTTCGCTGTTGTTTGTGGAATCCGGAGAAGCAGTCCCGGCACTCTGACTTTCTTCTTCCTGTTTGAATCTCTCCATGGTTTCCTTTTCAATCCTTTCTAGACGATCCATTACCTCTGACGGATCCGCATCTCTCGGCCTCTGATTAAAATCAATATCGATGTCGATCCTAAAACAATATCGATGGGAAAAATAATTTATAGTAATAATACAGCTTTCACAAAAGGCAATTTATAGTAAGAGAGACACTAACATAGCTTACACATTTATATATACTGGAACATGAATACGTAGTAATAAACAAATCTAAGTAGGTATGTAGAAATTGTCGTATAAAATTATGACTTGCTGTTTTATAATTACGCTGCGTGACGTTGATGTATGCCTCCTTATGGTTGCAATAACTGCAGATTATGAGCCGAGTATAAAAAAAGAAGTGGATACTTTCAATAACTTTAATCTGTTTTGTCCACATTTTTAATAAAATTATATATTTTTTTTTAATTTAAAAGTAGTTTATCGATCACTGTATTAAAATTAATTAAAAACCTAGAAGTGTCAGATGGCGATGGTGGGAGTTTCATTACACAAGAGATATTCTTAATTTAACTGTCGTTTTAGAGAAAAAATAAATGCACTTAAAATGTTCCAGCAAGAATTACAGACGGACGGTGAAGGCTTCAGTAAGGGTTAGATACAATACGCCTGGATTATACGGGCATGTCCGGACTGACTGGATTATTCACATTTCTTAATGGTAACTAATGCTAATTATAGTTTTTATGAGGTTCCAGTGCGTACGTGACACTTACGCCATCAGCTCCTCATAAAATGACAAGATATATGAACGTAGGAAAAATACATGCCTCCTTACTTGTTGTTGTGAAAAAATATTGAAGAGGATGGTGAAAGTGTCTATGGTAAATGAAATGGCGAGCACCCGCTACTTTAATGACATCATAAAGAAGTAGGTAAGTACTTACATTATTCATTACAATACCTATGAACCTTAAAAGTACCTTCCAATTTCCAATGATGGCATAACAAAGTATAGTCATGAGCACACAAATAACAGATAGGATGTCAAGAGGCCGCGATTTAAACAAAGATTTGGGAATGTGAACTTGCGTAAGTAAATCAAACATTCTCGCTATCGTTTAAACCAAACTGCCTACCTACTATTTGACAAGAATTTTCACCTATATCCACACAGCTTTCCCTCGTTAGATCTACGTGTCTGTTCTATTTTATAGATTTATTCAGAATTTTAAAAAAGCGTAAAATCTTATGTAATGCTTCAACTTGTAAACTTATGAATATTACTGTGCCCATTCCAGTACAAAACTGTAGGTATATTTTAATAATTATTAAAAAATATTTTTATTATATAATGTAACTAAAAATTTACGGTTTTATCACTTTTTCCTTTAACTGTACCATAAGACGTCACTGCGTACCAAATTTCAAGATTCTAAGTCCACGGGAAGTACCCTGTAGGTTTTGATTCCTGTGCGAGTTTCGAAAATTTGCGGAAATTTGCGACATAAACGGCTGTATCTTTTGATTGCTTTGGCTTTGAAGTTTGATTTTTTCACAGCTCCAAGGGACGTTACACCTGAGTATTAAATATGAATTTCAGATTGATACCTCCACGCGTTCCTGAGAAGAACGGTCTTGACAGACGGACGGACGGACAACAAAGCGATCCTACAAGGGTTCCTTTTTTTCCTTTTGAGGCACGAAACCCTTAAAATAATTATCTAAAACTTTAGTTCTACATTGTATTTTTTTTACAGACTCAATGTAAGTTAGAAAATTTTCACTCAAATTTAGTCTTGATTTAAATTTTCAACGTTAAATGTACGCAACTATTTTTTATCTATGTTTTCAGTACATAATGCTTAATTTGTTTGGTGAGTTTTTTGACTTTGATTTAAATACAACAATATTTTAGCCATCAACAAATTTACTACATTACCTACATTATGGGAGCTGCTATTAACAAAAAATATATCTGAAGTAATATTCATAATTCTTAGAGAAAGCAGTAACAGCTGAATTTATTAAATTGAGGTTATTATTCTTGTACTACCTACTACCTACATACTTGTACTATAGTTTAAGATCCGGAGAAAGGGTCTCTCCCTTTACCCATCTGCTTACCAGGCGAAAAGTATGTTTTATCAAGTATAATAAATACGTCATTGATCTTTACTAATATTATAAAGAGGAAAGATTTGACTATTTGTTTGTTTATTTGTTCGTATTGTATAGCTTCTAAACTAATGGACCGATTTGAAAAATTCGGTTAGGGTCGGTAAAAAAAAAGGTTAGGGTTCCGCATGAAAACTTCGATAATGTAACCCAACGTGTGAAAAAAATCCAAAATATAATGTTTTATCACGTACGCTGCGGAAGTCATTGACAATAGAGCAAAGTGATGTACTGAAGTTTTATAGAAGACATCAATATCTACAAAAAAGTCTGCGAAACCATAGGTGTAACTATTACAGTTGTCAATTTTCATTGATGCTCCGCTCCTAATAGTTGTAAAGGTTGTAGCGTGATAATATATAGTCTATAGCCTTCCTTGATAAATGCACTATCGAACACAATAATATTTTTTCAATTCGGACCAGCATTTTCTGAGATAAGCGCGTTCAACCAAAAAAAAATGAATAAATACAAGCCTTAGAACAAAAACTATAGTCTACATCTACAGCTGTACACCGAAACAAAGCGATGGTGGGCCACGGGGTATACCCTTTTCAATAAAACAAGAATTATCAATATCAGACTTCACTGTAAAATGTTGTGTGGTCATAAATTACAATCAGTGAGTGAATAAAATCAATCATCCCCTATTATCATATCCATATGGTTGCATTTTTTTTCCAAATTCATATGGGACAAACTTCGAGGTACACCCATTCCAATTTCTTTCAAATTCCAAATTCAAATTCCAATAAAAAAAATCAAAATCGGACTACTCCAAAAAGTTATGCGTGCGTATGACCACATACATAAGGTAAATACGCGACGATTTGAGAACTTCCTCCATTATTTTCGTCGGATAAAAAGCCGGCAACAGTAAATTTTGCATATTCATAAGACGGTGTATTTTTTTTATATTTAAATAAATCGATAAACACGTGAATGCAACACGAACAAAAATTTTACTTATAGGTGGTTTACTTAATCAAAGAATAGTCATGAGAAAAGGACATCGACGAAATCGGCCCTAGCATGCCCAAAAGAATGTCCTTCACTATTATTTTTCTATTATTTTTTTAACTTATTAGCAATTAATCATAGTAAACGGACAATCTGTTTAAAAAATAAAAGTTCTGTTACTAGATACTACAGTCTGTTCATCCAACTTGGCACTCCTTTTTATTGAAAATACAGCATTAAAAATCAACTGATAACTGGATTCAATAGGTTTCAGTCTATAATAACGATTTATTTTAATAGTTTATTGGCTTCGTTAATATTTTATTATTAAATGGGTGATTCTGTTAAAAAGTTGTGCCAAGATTGTTTACCTTAGTAATGCAATATTGGCGACCATAGGTATTTATCAACATAAAAATAGAACTAGGTACCTTAGTTAATAATACTTATTACTAGTATTTATATTATATTTATGAAAAGATTATTTCTGAAATTATCTAAAGATAGTTTATACTCCCATCCCATGTAATATCTGTTTATTTTTATGACAATCATAATGATAACCAGGTACATACCTAATTACCGATAGTAAACTATAGAAACAGGTAAATGGAAAGACTGAACATTTCATTTGAAAAGAAATCTATTATTACCTACTACAGGTAGGTATAGGTATCATAGGTGCCAACTGACAACACTCATAAATCAATATGAATATAAGCATTTATTATTTTTATTATTAATTGCATTTTATGTTCATTTAATGCATATTATTTAAGTGCTTACATAGAGGTAAACACTAAATCTATTCAGAACATATAAAGTGTACATCTTTTATGATTAAGTATAATAATTATAACCTCAAAATCTAATACATTCTGTAGTAGGCCACGGTTCCTCAAGTTGTCCGTATCTCAACAAATGCTTATTTAGAGTTTATGAATGATTCCGAACACAACTAGCATTTTCTCATTGCTGGGCGTTCTAGGGCATTCAATGTATGGGGAACGAGCAATGTCCTTTTATACAGTATAAAAATACTTGATAAAACATACTTTCTTTTCGTTTGGTAAGCAAATGGATGAATGTAGACCTCTCTTGGGATCGTAATACTTGAATTTCTTACAGAAAAACTATTAAGAAGGGTGTCGCTCGATCGTTATAATTCGTCAGATCATGAAATTCCTAAATATCACGTTAAAATAAGACGCATCTTACCCAGTCTCTTCCCTGAACCGAGCCCAGTCTTCGATGCATGGCACCCTTGGAATCTCCTCGGCAAGCGCTCGAGCTGCGTCCTCCATGGTTTGCTGCACCAACTCCCTCTCAATGTCAGCTTCTGTTTAAAAACAATAGCATTTACATGAATTATAAAGATTGGGTCGATGGCAAGTTCTAACTAAACTGGTATCGAAAAGTCCGTATTTTCATAAAAAAAAACATATTTACTAAGCCATTGCCACACGCTAATGTAAGGATTTTAACATTAACCCGATAATCCATCCAATTAAAAAGATTAAGGTGATATAACGAAAACTCACAATTACAAACATAAGTATCTTTGATATGCACTCTGAATACCTTACACTCCTTTTTTGGCGGATAATAAACATTTTCTAAGGCTTTGAATTGTATATAAGTGCTGGTTATAGGGCTTGAGCAAGGCTTGACTATAATACAAGCCTTTAAACCTTTTTCCATATGAATAAAGTTATTTTTTTTAGAAATGTGTATGTAAATTGTACCAGTGTAAGCGTGTGACATAATAATGTCACACGCCAACACTGTACAATTTACAAAAAAACATACCTAACTTGTTTTATCTTGAGTTCTTATTTTTAAATACCATCAATTTATCATTAATCAATGATTTGGTTGGTTGTAAGAAATATACAGGGCATGCCATGGGTTTTTCACACGGAGGGAAAGTATATTAAATACTGAAGATAATATTTTACTGAAAGAAGACATCATTTTATTTTGAATAATAAGTAGTACTGCATCCACAGTTTTTTTAAATCGCCTGCTATATCTGGGAATCAAACTCGTGAAATGTGAAACCAAAAAACAATCATATAATATGAAAAATGGTGTAAGGAACCTAAACATGATTTTCGATTATCTAGACCATGATATAACCCACTCGACATATTATTTTGAAAACTTATTTTTTTTAATTCGTCACGTCATTCGATAGACTGTTAAACACTATACCCTCTCTGCGCGTCGCGCTTCGCGCTCTTGCATTGCGCAGTTGGGTAAAAACACATGACGTATTTTATGATAACCATCGAAAAGGTTAATCACAAGGATTATTTTTTCCTACATAACATAGCTTTTTCATTGAAAGGAAGATGATTGTTTTTTTAAATTTCACGAGTTTTATTCCTAGTTGTAGCTAGGGTTGCTAGGCCATAAAATGCACAGACTATATAAGGCCTGACATTTTGCCCTAAAAGCCGGACATATTTATTATATCAGACAGCGGGGAGGGGTAGTCACGCTGAGGTCACGCGCCGCGCGCACCAACAGTTTGCTCTCTTGTCCGCTCGGACGCTCGTCCGCCCATCGTCGTACGAATCGCCACTCTGACAAAAAGTCTGACAAAAGCCGGACAGGCCAAACACGTACATATTTGGCCGGACGCGACCGCTAAAAGCCAAACATGTCCGGCTTTACATGGCAAGCCTAGTTGTAGTAGACGATTTAAAAAAAAACTGTGAATGCAGTTCTAGTTATAATAAAAATAAAATGATGTCTTGATGATGATGATAACTAAAATATCCTTTTTTGAATATTTAATATACTTTCCCTCCGTGTGAAAAACCCGTGGGACGCCCTGTATAATGAAATAAAACCAGTACTTTCGCACGTCGCTTGACAAACTTCTTGCGAAATGTCGTTTTGCAATATAAGGACAATACATCTCGATTCTCGTGTCGTGTGTAAGCATTCAACAGAAATGTAAGTCGGTAAATATGTCCCCATTATGCCTTTAACCTTTTCGCATATCATGTACAGTACAGTCAAAACCATGCCATGCTGACGGATACTACTTACTTATTAACATCCAGAACACCTTTTTAACGTATTAACAAAAAGGTAACATAAGATATATAGCATATAATATAGCACAAAAATATTCCCCCTATCGTGTCCTTCCATTGTTTTTGCATAAACTATTCTTTAGAAAACACGTATGTTAACTAATTACATGGCATTGTTTTATGATTCTAGGTAAACTGAAAGTATGGGTGAGAAAGTTTGATACCGTTGTAATCATTAGATATATGACTTAGATTAGATCGATGCTCATGATCATATGTTTAGTTGTGGTGACTTAGAAGTTCGTTTCTTTCACTGCTGTCCAAGAAATTGCCTACCTTAATATTTGTTAGCTATGTTTATTTCACTGCTATCCAAGAGATTGCCTACCTGAATATTTGTAGTTATGTTTCTTTCACTGCTGTCCAAGAGATTGCCTACCTGAATATTTGTTAGCTATGTTTCTTTCACTGCTATCCAAGAGAATACCTACTTTTTTGATCGCTGGTTCAGGTATTTAATTATACCTCCAGATGCTTTATTTTATTTAGGAGTAAGTGTAGATAGGGATTTTCCCTTACGGGACAGCCATTCAGTTGACCGTGCATTCATTTTGAATTTGTCATTTCCCAACACTCGAATTTAAGGGTGGGCAAAAAGGTTTCCAGGGTGAGCATTGCCCACCATTGCTCCCCCGTAACTCTGCACATGAGACCCGAATTCCACGGCGTAATTAACAACAGAATAAATGCTGGTAAGGTGGCGGCGGTTGCACCACAGATTACAGAAAGAGGTTAAAAGGGGCTTTTGGAAGGAGCAGGCACGCCGCAGTAATGTGTGAGCAAATGCTCATATCTTGGCCAAAACTTGGTTCTGATTGCGTCGTTGCTGTCGGGTGTGCTGATTGGTTTGATTGTTTGATGTCGCGTCGTTTGATTGGCTATTATCTATTAGATGAAAGTGTAGTGAGGACAAGCCGGCGACATCGGTTCCCGTGCACACGGTCTATGATCACCCTTCTAACCTCTTTCTGTTCTGTGGGTTGCACCCTATGAAAGGATGGGGTAGCAACACCGAGCACCGTTAGGTCCAACTCGTCTACGTTTACAGCACATACCAGAAGGTCTACGAGCAGATGCTGGACGCCGTAGAGCGTGCGTCAGGTTTCCGCACACCGCTCCGTGGGACGTCAGCTTGCTTCCACTACAGCGCCACTCCTCGTCTATTTAATGGGATAATAAACTACACCATCACTTGTTTTAGATCCAACTTCCGTTAAAAATCTATACTGTAGCTATCAACTTTAACATTTTATTGCCTACGCAGTTTCCAAGTCAGCCATAATCATAAAGATCAGCTTATTACACAATATGAAAATAAGTGAAATATAACTAAAATTGCGCCGCCATGGGAGCTCTACTTAAGACATATAAAATGCTTACAAAATCGGGATTTATTTCTTAAATCACTTATTTTGAAATATTTGTAAGATAGGAAATGTGGGTTAAGAATGAAAATATTCTCATAAATAAATGCGCTGCGTTAACGATCTACCTATTTTTGATGGAATTAAAAGTTGTACGTGAAAGTTAATCATGTGAATATTGAGTACCTACTTATTCGTTTATGAGGTTGTATTATTGGAATCACTCAACAGTACTGACGATTCTTTTGGGCAGAAAGGAATTTCATGTCCCCTTCTCTCCCTGTCTTTCCCACCCATTCGACCTCCCTGGCTGCATCTCGACGCGACCTCGGATTCTGATGGGCTGAACTATCGAATCCTCTACATCACAATAATTATGTTATATTCATCAACTTAAAATGTAATAAATAAAACAGTGTTTTTAAAAAAAAACATCAATTTATACGGTTTGTCTTTGATAATGTTTTAATTCAAATCATTATTAGCGATATTCGTAGTATCTACTTTGTCTAGTCTTTTATCCTCATCTATGTAAGTTAAGTATACTTGGTAATGATGATATGTTACCCATTAATGTATTGAGTATTTGCAGCCGAGAAGGTGCGTCTATGTTGGGGCGATCATGTGCAGTACGGGGCCGCGCGGGCATATTCGGTCTGGGCGGCCTCGCGCCCGCTCCCTCTGTCGTGGCTGGCCTCCTTGACCGGATGACTGAAGCCAATGAAGATTTAGCGCCTGCGTCACCGCCTCCTTGAGCTGGTTTATTCGATGTCTAGGAATAAAATATGTTTTGTCTCGTTGAGTGCTAAAAAGTTTTATAACTACTATAAGAAACTCTAAATTACTCCGTGATCATGGCGCTTGCAACAATGCCGAAATATCGGAAACTCAGAAAAAACAAGGCAAATGGTAGCTAATTGCTAAATCTAAGAAACACGGAAATTAGCTTTGCAATAAGCACTTCTGGTCTTACAATACTCGTAACATTGGTTTTTTAATTATATAAGATATAAGATATAAGATTAGATCATCTTCATGTCAACCGTATCGATCTAATAGATTATACAGGGCGTCCCACGGGTTTGTCACACGGAGGGAAAGTATATTAAATATTGAAGATAGGATATTTTACTTAAAGAAGACAACATTTTATTTTTAATAATAAGTAGAAATGCATTCACAGTTTTAAAAAAACGCCTGCGTAAACCGGGAGTCAAACTCGTGAAATGTGAAACAAACAAAAAACACATGTATATTATGATAACTGCCGAAAGGACAAATCATAATAATATGGATTATTTTCCCTAAATAACATAATATTTTAAATAAAAGAAAATACACAAAATTTTAAGAATTGAACACAACCTACAATGGAGACGAAACGGTCGGTTTGTATAATTATCGCTTTCTTATTTTTATTCACCTACTTAAAGTAAGGAAATCCTGTATTATTAAGTGACCAGGTACTAGTTAGTAAATAGGTACTTTGAAATGATAATATAAGCTGTTGGAAGCACGGAAAAGAGGAAATTTTCCTGAACAAAATTTTATTTTATGATCTTCCTTAAATTAGCTGTTAGAAGCACGGAAAAGTAAGAAGAAATTTGCCTAAACAAACTTGAAATTTCATGACCTTCATGTCATTTGAAATGCTATTCAGGAATTATGAACTATGTTATTGAGGAAAAAATTATTCTTATAATGAAGCCTTTCGATGGTTGGCATCAAATACGTCACGTATTTTTTTTTTCATATTTCACGAGTTTGATTCCCAAATGTAGCAGGCAATTTAAAAAAAACTGTGAATGCAGTTCTAGTTACTATTAAAAATAAAATGATGTCTTCTTTCAGTCAAATATCCTATCTTCTATATTTAATATACTTTCCCTCCGTGTGACAAACCCGTGGGACGGACGCCCTGTATACCTAATAAGTATTAGTAATTAGTGTTTTGTCTCTGACCATTTAAGATGAATGTACAATTTTCTTGTTCCTGTTCTTATCTGTTTTATTGTGTGTGTACTAAATTAATAAATAAATAAAATAAAATGAATATATAAGACTAGCGAAATATACAGTCCGTCTGTTTACATGTTGGCAGGAAAAAAATTTCAAGAATGAAAACTGTACCAGGGAAGTACCTGTATTTTAAATTAAGCTAGTAATCTTGTCATTGCCATTGAATGCCTACCTCGACATTAGGAAACTGCTTGGACGGTCTCGCTTCGGGCTCGGCTGGAGGATCTTCGTCCACCGGCCGCATCAACTGCGCTACTTCCTCATCGCCTTCTTCAGAATCCGAGCCGCACGTTTCCAACATTTGATCCCATTCGTCTATCGCAATCAATGTCTGACTCTGTAGCCGAAGTTGAGTTGCGCATCGATTTAACTTTACTTATCGCGTTTACGTTTACATCGAAATTTGTATAAAGAAAATAACTTTATTATCGTACTATCAGACGGCGTTATACGTTTTTTCATACTTATTTCGAGTAAATTTAAATCAAGGTGCAAGTAACACTTCGGCTTCTGAATTATTTTACGATAGGGCACCTATTTACATAATTTAAATCAAACATCAGCATATCTTTCTTAAAAATATTGAACGTATCTTAAAGTACCACAAAACATTTTAAATTGAAAGTTAAGTTTTCCTGATACTAACCCATCATAACATAATATATCTAGGTATATAAAGTGTTAGAAGAATTAAGTCACTTTAAGTTTCTTGTGACCATTCTACTGCCCGCAAAATTTTACAAAAGATCAATTAATTTGTGATACATACAATCGATATCTGCATGTAAAGGATGATCATCTAAATATACAAGCATCGGCAAGGTTGCCGCGACTCTTGCACGGTAGTGAGAAGTATCAGCTGCAGGAGTACCACTCAAAGTCAAACGACGAAGAGAACCACAGACTCCCAGTGTCCATATGCGATTAGTGTCCGCTATGGGATTGCTGTAAGGAATAGATCACTTCTAAATATTCGGACTACCTAGTTAACATCAATACATTTACACAAAATAAGTTCACTCACTTTGCTAAATTTAAGGTGTGTAGCTTTTGTAAAGCTGCTAAAGGTTGCAAATCATGGAGACGATTTCCAGCAGCGTAGAATTCACAAAGTGCTCCCAGACCCCATACGCCGTCTAGACACGTCAATCCACATCGATTCACGCTTAAAACCTTGCAACATACAAGTTTAATCAGCATTGACAAAAAATATGTGGAACGTGTTCGTCATTACTGTGTAAAATAAGTACATTTTACCTTAAGGTGAACTAAACCAATTCCAAGATCGCGCAAGGATGATAATGCACTTCCGTCGAGAATCAAAGAGCGAAGAAGTGGTGCTAACACGTGTAGTCTCCTCAACCCGACACGTTCAGCAATCACTCTCAATTTTGCTTCCCTAATTCGCAAGACTTCTTCGTCTGTAGTAACGCCGCTGCACTGTTTCTACGAAAGGTACAAATCAAAGATTTTCTATTTTATCTGGGTTCCTTGAAATAGAACTACCCATTTCCCGATTATCCAGATGTTTCAAGACTAATTGTAAGGGAACTCACAATACCTAGGTCATAATAATTTCAGAACGGTTTTCATAAGAACGCTAAGTTTATGTTAAAAAAAAATAAAAAGCAATTACACGTCTTATGACCACATAACCAGAAGAGCCCAAAAGTTACGTGTATGTGTGAATAAATAATTTCATCGACGTGCCTTATGTAGGTTGGAGCAGTGCATATCAATAGCGTTTTCAAAATTATTGTATGTTCAATAACAATATTAATTAATAGTATGTAGAGTCGATGCGGAAATGTATGTCATAATTAAATTACTATCATGAATTCAGTTTTATATAAGTATATATGTAATAATAGGAAAATAAAATATATTCAACAACTACTAGTGGATAATATATTGTGTGTGTTAATAACATGTTTAAATTAAAAATATTATACAAGTAACCTTAATTTTTACGCTTTGTCAACTTACAAGTAGTTCTATTAAGGTCAATTCCCTGGGAATAACAATACGCCTATAGCCTGGTAACCGGCGCTCCAGCTCTTCCTGGCCTGGAGGCTGTGCGGGTTCCGGAGGTGGCATTGCTAGGGCCCTGATGATATTATACACACTTTTTGAACTCAAGAAATAGTGAGACATTCAATTTTATTTACTGATGTACTGTATAATACAAGAATATAAATTAAAAATTATACTCGTACCTACACGTACTTAAAGATCAAATCAACATTTCAAAATAGGCAAAATTGTCTTAACAAGTTTTTAAACTATTAAGTATCATAAATGTACTGAATTTTGTTAGTATTGGATACAGGTCGCGGCACGTAACTCTAGCGCTGAACAAAACGCAGAGGGAATAGCTACGCATGGGTACGACTGGAGAGCCAATCGGCGCAACGCACCCCCACCCACGCACCTCGTTTCCCCCCAAGACATCATAATTTTTACTTCTGCGCAATAAAGGTCATCGCTAGTATGGTGTCGCGACTTATACCCTGCCCACATTTAAAGTTATTTTATAATTTTTATTGTTTAAAGCATGTAACTGCTTGACTGACTGACTGTTTCGACATTCACACAGTGCATTCGCCCGGATTGCGAAGGGTGCGGGTTCGAGTCCCGTCTGCTGCCTGGTCCGCTTGGAATTTGTTCTAGTTATATTTTTCTTTAAAGTTATTTTATTGAACTTTGTAAGGAAAAATAAAATGTGACTGTTAGTAATGTAGGGACACAACAGGATTCAATTTAGATTGTTTAAATAGATACCTACTTAAAAATATGAGTATATAGTAGTACCTACCTGAAAAGAGGTGTTGCTCGCACATTTTGTGGTTCCGGGGAACTCGCACTCGATATTTCCGACAGAGAAGGTGATTCCACAATAGTTGGAGTTTGAGGAACGCTACCCAACTCAACACACGGCGCTTCGCGCGCTGGCATTTCAGGGGATTCTGTAAAATTTGATAATTTTCTTATAAATTAAGATTTAGAAAAAAGTCCGTAAAGTAGAAAAGGTATAATATTCAATGGAATTCAATTTCCTATCTGTTCGATTAGTACTTACAGGAATTTTTGTTCATGTGTTCTATTGGTGGAACAATCAGTAGAATAGATAGAACAGGCCCGTGTATCATCGATCTAGCTTATGGTTTTGGGATTTTGGAATTGCGATTTATTCGAGCACGGCAGAAAAAAATCGTTTATAAAGACCTTTTCAACAACAAAAATTTCAAGTATCACGTCTTGGGCCCAGGAAGTACAGTTTTACCCCCTCGTCTGCGCAGGCCATATAGGTATGACATTACATTTTAGTTACAGTCCCTGAATGCGGCAGTCATCTTAGAATAGAATTTTAGGATCTATTTGACCTTTAACTGGCTTTATGATAAATAAATGAAATAAGAAAAATAGGGTGGTCTTTTCCGTCCGTTATTATCCAATATTTTATTGATTAATGCTGTACTTACGATTCGACGTAAAGGTAGTTTCTGATTCTATTACAAATCGGTATTAGTTTGCTACTATATAATATGTGGTAAAAGGTTATTTACTGATCTAAGAATGTGTGTGGTTTATATTTTTTTGTACCTGTTGCAAAAACATTTCAAATAAACATCATATTTATTGGTTGTCATTAGCAACACGAATGCACAGATCACAGAGATTATGCAAGGGTGAGTTTACAGATTTGTTGCAATATCGGTGCTACAATACTATTCAATGCTTTACTTAAAAGATGACAAATAAATAAGGACATAGGATTCCGCTTTAACGTTGTACGTACGCATTATTAAAGTTAATGAGTGTTTGTCCTTAGTTGATATGCCGTACGATGGACGTGGATATATCTTGAAAAAAACATCAAATTTATTGTTTCAAAGACGATTTTTAATGCAGTAAAAGGAATTATGTGTGACACTTTTAAAAGTATAAAGGCTTAAACGGTAGTTCGAGAGTTTTACGCATATTACAGGCTACTAGTTCCTGGAATTTTATTTGAATTGTCGGCCAATCTGACAAATCTCGGTAAGCGGGCGGCCATTGGCATGCTTCACTCACGATTACACGAGGTTACGTCCGTCTTTTTTTCAGGTCCGTGGTTTGTTTATAGTTAATCAAGGTACTAACACCTGGAACTCCTGGTAGTCACATTACTGCAAGCTATTAAAAGTGAATAATATGTCAGTCTTTAACGATGGAAATTTGATTGGCATTTGCTATCTTTGGAACCAACAAATAGCGTTGAAAGGATCTTAAGAAATTGCTAGCTTTTTATGATATAATAACACAGAAAATTAAATAAGGCTATGATGACTTTAGTTTCAATTTTGGTCACACAATTTTGTTGATACTAAATGGGTATCTTTCTTACTTCCAGAGTACCATCTCGTATAGTTTCTCTTACAAAGAAGTGACGTAATCTGATATGCTTGGTTCTGTGGTGAAACTCGTAAAGGTTCTTTGCTAAACTTACAGCAGACTCATTATCTACATATAGGACTGGCAACTCTTTGCTTGGTTCTATACTTTCGATGAGTCTTTTCAGCCATATTATTTCTCTTGCTGTTTCGCTGACAGCAATAATTTCAGCTTTAGTGCTGGAGACAGCTGTAGAAGACTGCCTGCTGCTTTTCCATGCAATAATACTTCCCCCGTACAGTCAAACCATCCCTGACGTAGAGCGTCCAGTTTCTAAGTCACTATCATGATCTGCATCACTATAGCAGACCAATCTATGTTTGAGGGTGTCTCGTCCGTACTCAAAACCAGTGTCAAGAGTACCTTTTAAATAGCGCATGATCCTCTTAACATTAATTATGTCTTGGTTATCAGGCTTCTCGAAATGCCTCAAGACAACGATGACAGCAAATGCTATATCTGGTCTAGTGCAAACCATTAAATACATGAGCATACCCACAACTTCACGGTAAGGAAAGCTTACTTCAGTATCTTCTCTTATTTGTGAGCCTTGTAAATTTTGCTTGAGAATTGGAGTTCCAGCAGCTTTACTATTATCCATTCCTAATTTCTCTATGAGTTTCTTAGTATAACTACTCTGCGTTACATTAATAGAACCATTCTTCTTGGTCTCAATTTCAAGTCTTAGAAAAAAGTTTGCAGGTTTTGTTCGTACTTTAAATCTGCCTTTAAGCTCTTCAAAGAAAATTTCGCATTCTCTCTGGTTTACCGCAGCCACAAGTCTGTCATCTACGTACAGGGCAATCATCATACGTAATATTCACCTTCTGTTTCCTTATGTAGAGGCAGGGATCAGCTTTGCTTTCCGTAAACCCAATTTCTAGTAAAAAATCTTTTAGACAGTTGTTCCAGCATCGTGGTGCCTGTTTTAATCCATTAAGACTGAGCTTCAACTTACAAACTCGATCCCTATTGTCGTTATAGTCTTGCAGTTGTTTCGTGTAGATTTCTTCATTTAATGTCCCATAAAAAAATGCTATGGAGACATCAAATTGAGTGAGTTTTATCTTGTTTTTTGCAGCAATGCTTAGTAGTAGACGAATAGTACACATTCTTGCTCCTGTGCTAAAGGTTTCGTAGTAGTCTATACCTTTCTTCTGAAAATAGCTTTAAATCACCAATCTAGCTTTATAGCAATCAATAGACCCGTCTGGATTTTTCTTCACCTTAAAGATCCATTTGCATGTCAATGCCTTTCTGCCTTTAGGAAGAGGAACCATTCCCAAGGCTCATTTTCTTTTAGGGATTGAAACTCTTCATACATCGCCTTTTGCCATTTATCCTTTTTATTAGTAGCAATGGCTTCTTCGGATGAACTTGGTTCTTTTAAATCATCTAAGTTTTAGACTCATCACAAAATCTTCGAATCTCTTCGGTGCACTGAGCTTTGAACGATCTCTAAGCGATATCCTACGTTGGCCAAGTATTTCTGGTCTTGAGAGAATTTCGTCGTCCTCATATTCATTCTCAGATTCGAATACTTCATTTTCAATAGCGGATTCTTCTTAATCGTCATCTTGATCCATGTTTTGATTTTCAGGCAAATCTGATGCTTCTGGCATAGTAGCTTCCTCGGAAACAGTTTCCTCGTGTATGTCTATAGATTCAGCATATAATGGAATTTCAATTTCATTACTCTACGAAGGAAGAGGAGATCGTGGAGTACCTGCGAATAAAGACCAAGTTCTCCCTGAGAGTCGCACGGTTGGAGTTCCGTCATAATGTGAATTTTAATTCATTTGTGGTGATGGTGCCAAATGAACATCTGGCGACTTTCATGAAGGAAGATCTTTGGCCGGAAGGTGCCGTGTTCCGGCGGTTCCGAGGTTGATTACCTGACACCACTTCGCGTCACACGTCGCCGTATATACGTGTTAGTTTGGCGTTTACTAACATAGTTAGTAATTTTATTTACTAACAACAATGTTTTATATCTGTATATATGTTAGAATATATGGTATTTATATATGGGCCTATGTAGCCTGATTATAAATAAATAAATTAGTAGGAGTAATAATCTTGTACTCGTAAATTACATCTCATGAGTTTGCCAAAGTATTTTTGTCTTTGATCCAAACTCTGTATACTTCATTTTCATTATATACTACTATAATTTCTTTTACTGCTTTTTTGTCTAACTTTTTTCTTGTAACCTTAGGAACATGCACATAACAAGTACTTCCTATTATTCTTAAATGAGCAATTCTGGGTTTCTTGTTGTACCACAATTCGTACGGTGACATACACCGTTGGACCAGTACGGTTCAAGATATAGACTGACGTGTTTACTAATTCAGCCCATAGGCCTTGAGGAAAACCTCGCGCATACATTATAATTCTAGCTGCTTCAGCAACTATTCTGTTTTCTCTCTCGCACGCATTCTGCTGAGGAGTATGTGGCATTGTCACTCCGTGCTTGATGCCATTCGATTATAATATAGTTCTAACCTTCTCATCAACAAATTCACCTCCGTTCTCTGTAAAAAGTTCTTTGACTCTATGTACTGTCGCCTTTATCTCAGCTAACATAAGTTCCAACTTTTTGTAGACTTCTGATTTTTCTTTCAGAAAATAGACGAATCGGAACCTAGATTAGGCGTCTTTGAAAAGTATCGATATCCAGTACATGAAGGGTCCACAAACGTCTGCAAAGATAAGTCTCCTGGCTATGTAACACCTTCTCTAGTATCAAATTTTAATCTGTATGCTTGAGCATACATGCATCCTCCAATCCAATTTCTCTGCTCAACACCTTTTTCACGTAAGTTTTATATGGTGAGCGAATCTCTCATGATAAAGCCGTAACATGTCCTTTGCGTTCAGTACATTAATCTCCGTTGTTTTATCTGATGAAACATTTCTTAGTCGAAGCTTATAGAGTCCACCTTGTTTCTGTCTATCTCCAACCAACAGGATTTTGTTACTAATCAAAATTTTACATTTTGTAGCTTTTGACGTTAAGATGCTATTTGAGAGCTTGTCTTGGGCTGATAGTACTGACAATAAGTTTTTTGTGATCCCTGGTACATACCAAATATCATTAAGAGTAATCAATTGCTAATGACTTCCTGAATCTGTTTGTACATCAATGATTCCTTTACCAATCGCTTCAATGGCCTGTCCATTAGCTGTCGTTACAGTATGTGATCGATCAAAATACTCAAAAGTCTTGAATACGTGTCTTTGGTTTGTAACATGATTTGTACTCCATTGTCTACAAACCAGCTATTGTGATCCTTTTCAGTGGAGTTCATATTCAGTACCATTACGTTCATGTTCACAGCTTCATTTGATATTTTGGTTTCGGCGAGCGTCCATCAGCTTTCCATTTTTTGCATTGCTTATGGCCGATTTCACCACAATAATGACTTTTATTTTTCTTTTTGTCATATTTAGGAATCTTCTTTGTTTTGGATGGTCCTTGAAGAGTCAGTGCATCTCTGCAGTTCTCGGAACCTTTTGAAGATAATGCTCTTTCGCAAGAACATAGCTGACTAGTTAATTTTTCTATAGTCCTCTCTTTACTTGATAGTAACAACCAACTAGATTTGAAGGCGAAGTATTCTTCCGGTAAGGTATCCAATATCTTGCAAATGAGGAATATATTGGGTAAACCAGCAGTAATTCCTTCTGACTTCTTCATTTCCATTAACAGCTCTTGCCACATGTACTTTAATTTTGACAAATGAGTCGCCATGTCGACATTTGGACCCTTCTTATATAAGAAAAACTTCATGCAGAGTTTAAAGGCCTTATATATCGTATTCTGTTACGCCGCAAATAATCGATGCAACTCTTGCCAAACCTCTCTTGCAGTAGAAAATCTCATTAACTTCTGAAAATTTTCATCAGATATATTGGTCGTTATTACTTAGAGAGCTGTGCTCTCCAACTTGTTATATCTCTCTTTTATGGCCGTGTCTTGTGATGGTACATGGTCTGTTTCAGCTACGTCCAATACACCCAGACCTCGGAGGGCAATCCTTATTTTGTATTTCCATACAATCCAATGTTTGTCGTCTAATTGACCTATCTGTACCTTGGTTGCATCTTGGAAAAATTTGTCCATATTTGATTTTATAGTTACGTCAATTTCCGAAAATGAAAATTTTTCACACCAAAATCTCCAATTGTTTGGACGATTCGCTGGAAACGTTGTATAAGCTACTACCACTTTAAAGTATATTGGAAATTATAAAGGAAAATATTATTTAGCAGTTCTCAGCACATTTAATTAGCACATGAAAAATATAAGTTGACAGATAACAAGATTATGTGTAACCAGCCAACCACTTTAAAAAATAATTGTTTTATAAAGTCTACGGTAGCTTTCCCATTACAGCATTATAGCGCATTATGCGGCATAATGCTTAACGTTGAGTGTTCCAACTACAGCAACGCTTCGCACGATGAGGGCTACCGTTTTCTGCCTCACCAGATTGCGCCACTGTTGAGTGAGGTCCTAAATTGTAACTTTTAAAGTTTATTAATACGCACATGAAATCAAAGGTTACATTTAGATCGTATTTTAACACAAAAGAACCATATCCTAAACATAATAGGCCATGCCACAGTGACGCGCAGTTCCGTTTTATTCGGAAAAAATGGGAACATAATCATTTTTCTAAGCTCAAATTTTTAATAACTGACATCCACATAACTCACATTTGCCATAATTAAGCCAATTATTCACAACATTATTTTAATAAGAAATAAACCCGCGTAGTCAACCAACAAGCAATAACATTTGACATTTCGGAGACCTCACGCTACACTAGCGCCTCTAGCGGCGGATTCATACGATATAGCTTTCTATATATAACAATGTACTCTATGGAAATAGCCCTCATTGAGCACTCTCAAAAGTGATGCTTTCGTGTGATGCGTGCAATCGTGCCAACTTAGAGACAGAAAACTAACAAGTGTTTTTTCTTTAAGTTGGCATTGATCGAAACGTTTTATTTATATGTTATCATTAGTAATATTATTTATTGTGGAAAAATTATTAAAACTTTCGTTTCATCATAGTTTTTTAAATAATCAAAGTTAATTCAAACTGTGTTAAAAATTAAATATAAATATGGATGAAGGTACAAACATTGACTTTTTTTTCAACACTGAACTTAGCGCACTCTGCTGGTGCATTTGAAAACTAATTCACGTTCCAATTAAGCATCAGCATAATTCGGCATTGTGCGGCACTGAGTCGCATTATGCTCTGTAATTGGAAAGCAACCTACGACTAACTCTCTAAGGAGTTTCAATAGAGGCTGTATGGAGTCAGTACTTTTGTCTTCTAAAAAGGAGAATAACACTAAAAAAAATAACAATCTCTTTTTTTTGGTAATGGCAACATTATAGCTTCGTTGCCTTCGTGGCAACAACAATCAGTGGATCAGTATTGCTACATCATACTGCTTTACCGCTTTTTCTACCACCTTATGAAAAGGGAAGAGAGCCGCTCCGCATTCCACTTTTGACCTACACGGTTCCACTTTTTCGAATCTACTAAAAAAGCCTCTATTATTTTCCTAACTCATGGCGATTGTGTAATACTGCTTGTTTGAAATTCCACGTTTTTGTACCAACCTTACCGCGTTTTTAATGTCCTCGTCTGGCAGCACTGCTCTGGACTTTTTTTCTCGCATGTACCCAATGGCCCAGAACCGTAAAACTCAGTTTAAACATAATTAAAAAAAAACGATTTTTTTGCGGGATTTCATCGAGTGCGGTTGGCGTCATATTTTAATTATTCTTTAAATTCGTTCATAGTGGATATTGTGAAAAAAAATTGGTGTGATTTTGTGTTATAATCATCTGCGCATTAACTGAAGAATTAACGGAATCTTCAAAATATTCGCTATATCGGTCAAGTGGATGTGAGAACTTTATTGTAGTGTTGTCTACCTCACAGAAGCTTGTCGAGAAAGCTGAATCGATATATTTTGTGCCAAATACTCCAAGAAACATTTAAATGCGACACACACACATTCTAATGTAAAAAAGGAAGATTAATGCAAGAATAAGACGATGGCTGCATGGCTGTGCCTTTGCCTTTCCCAATAGGGAAGAATAGAACTAAAAAAAACTCCTTTCGCGCGCTATTTTACGTCACGTCAAAATCTTTGACGGAAATACTTTTCCGTCATCATTTAAAAAATTAATGGAATTGAACTTTTATCTCGATTATAACATTTCGTTTTTGTTGTCAAAATTAAAATGGTTGCAGGAAACAATGAAAAATCACAACATGAAGAGTATCAGTATCTCGATTTAATCAAGAAAATTATAGATAGCGGTAAGCTTTACGCCATCCCTGACGTGTCAAAGGAATCATCATCATCATCAGCCTATTAATGTCCCCACCACTGCGGGGGCACAGGCCTTCCCTATGGCTGGAATAGGGAGATTAGGCCATGACCCATCACGCGGGCCCAGTGCGAATTGGTTGGTGCTAACGACTACAGATGCAGCCGGGACCAACGGTTTAACGTGCCTTCCGAAGCACGGAGGGGTTCGAGATAGTAAATGTTTGGTCACCCATCCAATGACCGACCACTGCGAAAGTTGCTTAACTTCAACAATCGCAGCCCAACGCGCTAACCACTTGCGCCATCGAGCTCCTAAACATTATTAATTATTATACTAGGCAAATCTGTGTAATATAACGAAACAAATTTGCATATTTCATTAAAGGTGACAAACGAGTTGATAGAACTGGGGTTGGAACTTTATCAGTATTTGGGGCCATGCAACGATATTCTCTGGAAAATAATACTTTGCCACTTCTTACTACTAAAAGAGTCTTCCTAAAAGGCGTTATTAATGAACTGTTGTGGATGCTGTCTGGTTCTACCGATGCGAAAACACTTGGAGCTACAGGAGTACATATATGGGATGCCAATGGATCACGCTCTTTTCTTGATAATCTAGGATTTGTAGATAGAGAAGAAGGTAAGTTTGCTTTTTTAAATAATGAATTAATTTACCTACTGAATTCCAAATAAAATACAACATCCTTTTTAGGTGATCTGGGTCCAGTTTACGGATTTCAATGGCGTCATAGTGGAGCAGAATATAAAAATGCTAAAACTGATTATTCAGGCCAAGGAATTGATCAAATTCAAAATATCATAGACACACTAAAGTAAGTTTTAAAATATCCTTCTTCCTAGCACTAACTACTCAACTAAATTTTTTGGCTTCTGTTATAATAAGCAACAAATCTTGGCAGGCAGCCAGGACACTATCAAAGAAGGATGTATTTTTTTTATTGCTCTATAGGGAAGATGCAAATATAATATTTATAAAAATTTTATGGTTAAAATGTTAAAAAAATACATAAGAAAGGCCACTGCAATGTTTTTATTTTACAAAATGTTGTTTTCTAACAATAATTACGAATTCAAAATGACCTGACCAAAACGTATTTTAAAACACCAATCAATCATCATTATTTTATGGGAATTTTAATTGCGTTTTTTTAATAAAAATGGAAGTTGGGTTTATCAAAGCAGACTCCAGGAATTTACCAAGAGTTAGTATAGTTTTCAAATGTAGAAATTAAAGGGACTAAATTACTACGGTATGTATAAATAATAGTTGTTAAACTTTGTATTTTATTCAGCGGCTTCTATACATAGCAGTTATTTCAGCTCAACACTACAATCTTATGGCGATAACGCAATTGGCTATGTCCAAATTAAAAGAGATGGAGAATTACGTACAGTAAAAAGTTGAGTTACTCCAGAGCATAAAGTACATAAAAAGAAGTTTATCATGTTACAGTTATTTTAAATAAAACGCAAAGCTTGGTTCAGTCCTGCTAATGTGAAGATTCTGCCACACATTTTAAACTTTATCCAATTTTCGACGTCATTCTCCAACTGTAAAAATAAAAATATGTTATATACAGGCTTTGTAAGTATTAGGTAGGTTACTAACGCATTTTTACGTACAAGCAGATTAATTAAGCATATGACAAGTATATTCGCCAACTTACGTCAAAGTTAGGAACACGAAAAAAGTATCGATACTTTGTGGTATCGAGTACTTTTCCTTTCGATACCGATACTTTTGTACTCGATACTTTGTATTCGATACCTTTACTAAATGAGTTCTTTTTGGCAAGTATCGATACCTTTAAAAATTTGGATAAGCGCCTCATATTGATTGCAACGCCATCTTGTTAAATCATAGCAAACCTTCTAAAACGTTCCATAGGGTTTTTGACAAGTTTTATGCAACGATCTCACATTATTGACTAATGTTTATGGAGTCCGTAAAAAGGAAAGGATGGATATTCATCATTCTGTGGTGTATTTCAGTAAAAATAATCAAATCAAAAACTCCATTTTCAAGTTGCCGCGAAAACGTTTCTCTGGACAATATGGCGTCTTACTAGTGTGTGACGACATACGACTATTATTAAAACGTCAAACGATACAATGTAATGTCACTTTGACCGAAAGTTTACTTGCGTGTGACGTCATTTTAGGCTCCGCCAATCCCAAGCTTTTTGGGTTACGTGACAATAGATAAGAAAACTTATACCTATCTTTTTCGTTATTTACCACTTTATTTTTAATACTGTCAAATGCCCTATTGCGTTTTTATAAAGTCAGTAACTGACATATTCAAATTCTTTCCAATCTGTGACTGTGTTTATTTTGCGCTTTGTTTAGTTTCATAGTTATTTATTTAGCGACCATATTGTTAGGAACTGTGATTGATTCGCCGTTTATTGTGCTTTTCGCTTGACTGTATTTGATTTATTCAAGTGTAACACTATTATTCTGTCTGTGCTGTGTATACCTATTTGAAACCACCTGAAAAAAAGACGGACGTAACCTCTTCTATAATTATAATCTTGAGTGAAGCATGCCAATGGCAGCCGTTAACTACGTGTCAGATTCAAGTTAACATAAGTGGGTATAATGTTTTTTAATGATTAAAATTCAAGAAAAGTAAGTTTAATTTGAAACAAATCTGAAAAGTTTCATACTTTTAAATTGTTTAAGATTTCGATCTTTTTAATTAACATATTAATTATGAATGTAATATTACTGAACACTTTTTTAGTGTCAGAAATCACAGCTATTTTCTTTTCATTATATAATATAGCAATTTGTGAATTTACATGTCCTTTTTTTGTTTTCGATTATACGTACTATAATAAAATTCGAATGTTTTTCTTTCAATTTTAACACCAAGGGGGGGGGGGGTTGCTCATCAGGTCACAGGGGCTCCGATAAGGCCCTATGAAATGTACTCGATACTTTGAAGTATCGATACTTTTGTTTCGATACTTTTACGAGTACGATACTTTTTTACCGATACTACTCATGAGTACAGTATCGATACTTTCTATTCGATATCGTGTCCCTAGTCAAAGTGATCTTCACAGCATCAAATAATGGTCTTTGGAGAATAACTGTCATTTCTATTCGCAGCTTGAAACCACTTTTTTCTCAGTTTTGGGTCAGAAGGTCCGAGCAAAAACAATTTATTTGGAAACTTTGTTGAAGTAGATGGACACATTGGCACAAAACATGAGTCAACACAGCTTTTTTTCGGAATATTAGTGGTATTATTATGATCACCTGATGTTGATGGATAGTCCATTTTAAATTTTTACAAAAAAATATCTCGAAAGTCGAAAAAATATGCAAAAGTATTAAAGCCAGCGACGAACAAGTACGACCAGTGACAGACAGGAGTGACGTAATCGGAAAGATAGGTCCGTTTTCGCGCGAAAGTTTAAACTGTCAAATTAAAACCGCATTTCTTTCGATAAATACCAATATTTTAATTTTTTAATATATTTGTGGTTTATTCTTCATGGAAATCTTTAAAATGAAAGCAAAAATAAAAATAATGTATCTTCCCTATTCTGAATTATTAGAAGAGAGCATTTGAATTAAATTTGTTTGTACCTTATGCCACTTCATTAAATTTATTTTAATCCTCTTGTTGATATTGCTTACTCTATAGTTCTACAGTTGTGGGCGTGACATTATGTATCTATTCAAACTTATTTGTTTTCTTATCTTAACTTTGTTTTAGGAATAACCCTGCTGACAGAAGAATGTTAATATGTGCATGGAATCCATCAGATTTGAGTAAAATGGCCCTTCCTCCATGTCATTGTTTGGCTCAATTTCATGTTGCCAGTGGAAAGTTATCATGTTTGTTATACCAAAGAAGTGCTGATATGGGTCTAGGAGTACCATTTAATATAGCAAGTTATTCTCTTCTTACACACATGATTGCACATCTGACAGGTTTACAGGTAAATATAGATTTAAAACTTTTTTGCTATATTGTTAAGAGAATAATTGACACCACTGGACCTCCACATTACGTGATGGTGATCTCATTCCTAATCCCGCCTTCCCCTTTTTATTTAACTTACCACTGGCTTACTGTTCTCTTATGATTCTGATGCAAACATATCTATCTATTGTAAACTCTTCCCCTTTTTTACTAAAATACTTGCTGTTCTCCTATGATTTTCATGCAAGCCTAGAAATTTGGTATCTATTCCTTTTATATAAATATTTATTTACTTTATTTTTGATGTCTATTGTATTTGGTTGTTACTTCATATATAGTTTTATAACAGTAACAATAAAATAGGATTTGTATTGGGATGAGGGAATTTTGTAGTATATTATATAGTGTACAAATCTTAAAACTTTCTATATATATAACTTCTTTTACAGCCTGGGGAATTCGTTCATACAACTGGCGACACTCATGTGTATTTGAATCATATAGAACCTCTAAGAATTCAACTACAAAGAGAACCAAGGCCTTTTCCTAAACTAAGATTTGCACGCAATGTTGAATCGATTGATGACTTCAAATTTGAAGATTTCATAATAGAAGGATATCAGCCACATCCCAAAATAGACATGGAAATGGCAGTATAGCAAGGAATTCATAATATATGCACCCCCTGGCACTGATTGGTACTTAAAATTAATTTTGTGTTTTGTATTATTATTATAGTATTATTAGCCAGGGATTTATTTTAACCCCCTCATGCTGTAACCCTTTTGGACCTACAGTCAATATGCCCCTGTATAATTTAGCATAGTGAGGTCTCATTTTTAGCCTAAGACTATTCTCTATGTATTTTACTAGTACTGCAAATATACAATTTAAGAAAATTACGTAATAACGTATAGGGTCAGGTGCAAATAAAGCACTTACACAGAACTTAGCTCATGTGTATTAAAATAATTATGTTTCAGTTTGTATGTGTCAGTATCTGTCCTCAAAATAACATCTTAAAACTGCTCTTAACTGTAAAAAATCTGGCTGAGGTAGTTTGAACACCATTGTTTGTTATCTTCATCATAAGTGGAACTATTTTTGTAGTTAATTAGTACTGTGACTTTGAATGTATGAAATTTATAAAAATGCACGTAAATTTGATCATTATTTTATTGACAATTCGAATGAAATAAAACCCAAATAGATGGCAATTCAATTATACAAATAAAATACTACACAATTTAAATTACATAAGTTTTTAAAAAATCTGTTACATCATAATTTTACTCACATATTTTGTAACTTAACAATATTTAACAAATTCATATTTTATCTTATGCTTACATTAACATTTTTAAGTCTGTCGTAAGACAATTTTTGTACATTGTGTAATGAAATACAATTAAGTCTTATACGCAATGTCTCTCATTATGAGCTCAGACCTGTATAAACAACAAAGAAACTAGTGATCTGCTTTGAACTTTATTGAAGTAGGTATAAATAATTCCCTAAGCTTGATTATTTCATGGGAGTGATTTCTATACGGTATCAAGTGAACGCATACGTGATAAGTAATGGTTAAAAATATAAGATGACAAAACTAGTGTAGGTTAAATATTGAGCTCCAGCCTATCCTAAATTATATTTTTATATAGAAAACATTATCACAAAAAAGTAATTCCAGGATTATCTACAGTGCGCTCAAGGTCTTGGAGCACGTGGCCGAAATCGGAACTAATTTTAGGATGAAAACAAATTAAGGGGCACAAAGTACCTAGTTTAAAACAAGTTTTAACTAAAAATAAGGTTTACATGAAGTGAAAGTGTCGACAAAAAGGCAGTGAAAGTCAAATTGACTTGAGCCGAAATTGGATACACAACACACCCTGCAAGAGAGTCAATGTATTTATGATCTCATTATCATCTATAAGTTCTGTAACCAAAACTGGGCCAGAAAAACACCCCTGTGGAATACAATTATTAGTTGATGTGTTATTGAGCTGAAATCTTATTCAATTTCCTTAGTTTAAATTAAAACATTATCATCTAAATATAAAATTCATAATAAATAGGTAATGTAACTAGTAACCGAAGATTTGAATGTCAAATACATTATTATGTAAAATGACTGTATTACCTCCATTTTACCGATTCAAATATGTAATAATTATGTACCTATGATAATAGTCCAGGAAATGAATTTAAAAAAATGGTAAAACCTCGCAATTTTTTCGTCCAGCACCAATTTGTACAAAAATTTGGGATTAGGCTTATTTCACCCTCTAATTCATTTTCTACATATATTGTGCCGTTGTACGCTTTTTGTTTTTTAGAACGTTTACTTTTTCAAAAATTATAAAATAAAATTAAACACTAAATATGGGTAAAAATAAATAAAAAAATATAGCTTCATGCTTTAGGATACAATTTCATAATCTTTTTTTAGAAACAAATTTGTATAGCTTTTCAAGAGCTATAAGACTATGTGAATCAAATTACTAAGGATACCTTAATTTTTAAATGGGGAGAGTTTAAAGCGCTTGAATAAGCGCTTGCGCGTGATTTTCGATCGTAAATGTAGGTGTTAAACGGCTATATCTCGCCGAATATTCACTGTACAAAAAATATGCAGACAGGGAAATAGTACTATATCGTTTTTTTCGTATTTTTAGTATTTTGGGAGATATTTTTAAGAAAATGGTGAAAAACACGAAATTGAAAAAAAACGGTTTTCTTTTTAAACTCCAATTTTTCTAAAATTTGGCACTTTAAATTGGTCAAACTTCGTGGGTGTATTAATAGTACATATATAAAGTGAATTACAGAAGGGTGGCGATCAATTTTAATTAGGGGGTACTTTAGGAGTTGTTTTCACATAATTTTTTCGTAGAAAAAAGCTGATACCGATCTTATTTTGATCATAAGTCTGTCAATTTTCATGCTAGAGACATTGTTTTTTATTTGTTTGAAAACTGTAATTAAATACTTTAAAAAAGATTCTATGAGCTTTCTAGCAAAATTTTCTCGTTATTTCGCTGTAAGTCTTCCAATTTATGCATTTTGACGAAAAAAGCTAAGCATTAATTTGCTGTGTATCTTAGTTCATATTTGTCATAGAAAAAAATAGAAAACACGATGTTTTCGTTTTTTTAAAAGTCACAATTTGACTCCACACTTTTTTTGGAGTTATTCGCAAAAAACCATTTAAAAAAGTCGTTTTTTTCGTCAAAAATCTTACTTTCAACTTTGAATAACTCTAAAAATATTAGATTTACGAAAAAAACGTATATAACATTTTTTTCTTAGAATTACTTTTTCCGTCGATTCCTACAGTTAAAATGTTATAAAAAAAATCAACAACCCCCAAGGCTGTAGCGTACAGCGGCATGATATAGAAAATGATCCTTGAGCTGTTCCCTACCTTTTGTGAAAATTTCAAGTAAATCCATGGTGGACGAAAAAATTGCGACCCAAAATGCTTCATTTCCTGGACTATAAGTATTTAAAAAATTATGATAATCTGATCACCATGAAAATCACAAATTAATAATTATGAGAAATGTGTTTTAGACAGAATATCGTGTCTGGCCGTACCACAGCCCTTGAGATTGAACAGTGAAAGGAAGAGGTCATTTGCCATGTAATCAGAAAAAGAACTTATAAATAAAAGACTTTACCAAGGATAAGAGTAGCTAGCAAAAAGTTGTTTGCTACTTAAATTAGAATCATTCGAGAAAATCGCTTAGACCGTCTGTATCATCTCTATCCTTTTCACAATAGAAAATGGACATAAATTAACTACCCTGAAATTGCATTTTTGCTTGCTTCTATATATCGACAGTGGGGCTGCTTCAAAATTAACTTAATTTCAGTATTTATGTAAGGTTAATTTTTGAGCAGCACCAAAGTGGCGTGTTAGCAATTTTGCTCACTGTCGATATGAAATAAAATTATTTGTAATATGTGATGAGTGGGTTGTAAGGCTGTACCGCACCCATAACAAAAAAAAAAAGGTTTCTTTTCTACCAGAGATGTGCTTTTTCTAGTGTGTTTGATATGTTGCCTATTAGATTGCGACAATTTAACCAACTCCACATAGGTTTATTCCAACAAAACACCCAGCAGCGCTGGGTCTCCTCCTCTGATTGCCTCAAATTTATCAGCTTATTGTAATCACATACTTTGGACTATAGGTCTATAGTCTGAAGGGATTGTGTGGTATAGAGCTGTGTAGACATTTTATAATTATTTTTTAAAAAAAAACTTCCCAATACTACAAAATAACCATGCCGTTTTATACCATTGCTATAAAATAACATTTTTAACATTGCGGTCCTTAGTTTTGTATAGAGCCTTATTACCAATACCTGATAGATAGCAACAGCAGGATTCGGTAATTAACAGGCAAGGTTTCGTATTCAAAGGCACAATTTGGCAGAAAAAGTTAAGTACGAAATGTTATTATGATCAATTCTCTCATATTATATTGTTCATTGATTCGAGATTGCAGGTTAGTGAGCAGAGAATCCAATCAAGCCACTGCTTGTGTTTGTAGTGAGTAAATTTATGTAATGTTGCTATCAGAGGTAATTGGTATGGCATCCAGGCTGAAGTACATCAAAAAACCTATTTTGTCAAATATATCTCATCATCAGCCTATTAATGTCCCCACTCCTGGGCATATGCCTTTCCTATGGATGGATTCTGCTAGGGGTTTATATAAAATGAACACTAAATCCACTGAATGCCTTACCTATACTCTAGCACATCTTTGGAACTCTTATCTCTCTCTCTATCTTAAATAAAAAATCCTTAGTGAAAAGATACCTAAGGTCAAAAATACCCATTGTGTATCATCATTTGTGTTGGCTCCCTGGCTTGAAGCAATGCTAAACTTTGTCCATTGTCCTTATTTTATGAACTATGGTTCACTTTACCATTTGTAAAGAGTTGCCAAAGTTCTTTTAAAATAAAGTTTTCATCAACACATTTGATCATCTTGCGGCACTGTCTGAAAATATAATACAACATTATTTAATATTCATCAATTGATGTGACCATGGTATCCATCAAAATAGTAGGTCTGTGATTTACAAACAGATTAAAAATGCATTTTATCAATGTTCAGAAAATATTTTTGATCTAAAATATTTTTATGTGTTTATGTTTACACACAAAACATTACTTATGCAATCCACCATTCTGATATCAGGTCTGCCACATACCTACATATATTTCAGCTAGTAACACAGTCACTTAAATCAATAAAAAGTTATTTATGCAACTTTAAAAGACGAGTTATTAAAATACAAATGTGGATGTGGCATAATCACACGAGGCGAAGCAGAGTTTGATAGTAGTATCACATGAGCGTTTTAATACCTTATTATAACAGTTGCACACAAATCTTTATCCACACCCATGATATGAATCCTCTATAAAAGATTTTGCAAGTATGGGGCTTTCTAAGAAATTAAAATTCATGAAAAGTTCGGTGCTGTGGTAGTGAAACGCAATTTAATTACTATGTTCTTTTTTATAAATACATAAAACCATGCATGGAGCAGTGAATATCGTGGCTGTCTGGTGAGTAAGCCCTTGGAGCAGGAGGAATTTAAAAGTGAAAGAGTTATTATGAAATTTAGTATAACAATGGACTTTTTGGCGGGAGCGGGAAACATCACTTTAGCAGTTTTGTTTTTCTTGTTAAAAATCGTGTTGTGGCGGATGTTAGTGTCTAATAATGGTGGATTATTCGCCACTAAGTGTTCGGGAACATGCACAAGTGTTGGCAAGTGAAACAAAATAGCGGGAAGTGTTTTTTGACGTTCCCTCAAGAAGTCCATGGATGCGATTCCAGTAAATCCCCACACTTTTACTGAAACATAAAGAAAGGGGGATTGACTTGACTGCCACTTACTTTGACATGATTTATTACTTTCATTCATGACATTCATTCATATGCATGCATCTCTTTTTTATATTCAGTCATTATATAGTATTTTAGTAAATTAAAAAATTAAAGTATACTGTAATGCTAATCATAAAAAAGTTATGTTATGATAAAGCTGTGTACTGTAATGTTTTATTTTAAATTTTATGTATGTTTGTTTATAAAGTATCTCTTTATAAAACCATCTTTAGATTCATAATTCAAATATTTCGACATAAGTATAAAAACATTTTAAAACCCACACGGGTGTTATAGTGGTTTTTCTGTTTATTATGACATTGGATGTTATAATGTTGGCAATAAGCAGTTTCAGAATCTTTAATAGAGGGTGTAAAGATTGAGGGTAGATAAAATTCATTTAAAATGTCTAAATTTACATGACATTAGTGCTAAAAAAGTTATATGGTAGTGGGGGGGAGAGACATTCTGATCTTATTAGTCAATCCAGACCTCAACTGACTTTCTGGGCCAATTTAGGTGAAATTAGTAACTACAGATAAATGGTAAAAGTATGCCATTGTAATTAATTACTAAAATAAAGGTTTAGTCAAATAATTAAAAAAGTTTATGTTTCAACAGTCTTACCTGACTAATTGTTGTATCTTCACTTCTACTACTAGGCACAGGTAAAGCAGCAAGTTGTTCTACTAAAGCCATAGTCATCTCTGTTTCTACAAGTACTTCCACCCACAAAGTATCTGAAAGTACAATATTTAAAATTGTTAAAAGAGATAATTATTATGTAATAATAACACAATCTCTCATTGTAATTTATTTACCTCCTATTTGTTCACCTTTATCATTAACCAAATGAAAGTATCCTCTATGTGAGCCAGGTGTGGTTGGTGCTACTAATTTTAATGTCACTGTGGTTGAATGCCCAGGAGGTAATGGTGGCACATAATAAGGTGAAGCACCAAAGGCCTCACCACCAGCCTGTATTACTCTACAGCTACCAGGCCATGATTCAGCTCCAGTATTTGCAATACTCCAATTCTGTTCAAAGCTAAAATAGGAAATAGAGAATTGTTATTTTTTACTACCATGTCACAAAATGTTTAACCTAAACAAATAAACTCACCGAGCACCAGGACTGACGGCAGTTTCTTGATTTTGAGCAGCTTTCAATGACATAGAAGGAAGTTTAGGCGGTAATGTATAATCTAAATAACAACATATTGCTGCCTGTAAGTTCCTAAAACACATTAAAATTGTTACAAAAAAATTGTGCACAATATTATTCATTTTATTACCAATTACAAAAAATTTACTTACCAATTACTCATATCCAAAAAAAAACTTGCTGTGTTATAGTTTAAAGTAGGTCCCAAAAGTCTTTGCATTTGACTTATCAATTCCTCTCTATCTGTAGTATTCATACAACTAAATTGTAATAAGAGGTTTTGATCAATTTCTCCGGGGAAAGAAGAGCCGTCAACATCCATTTTGGAAATGAAATAATTAACACAAAACACTGTACTGCACCTTTACAAAATACTGACATATCATTTACCCTTTGTTTACGTTTGTCAGCTGACTGCAAATTCAATAAAATTTTACATTTTGCACTTGGACATTTTGTTTGTGAGGATTTCTAAATTGACAGAACAATAAACCTATTCTCTCAACAACCTTTCGACTAAATAGCAACTTGCAATTTAATTCTACACCAAAAATGAATCTTTATTCGGTCGCACTCAAAATGACCACAGACAAGAGAAATAAGTAGATTCCACGAAACAAAAAAATCGGTTTTTGTAAAAACCGATAATCACCGGTTCTTTTTTCAAACCAAATTATTACAACCATAATGGTGTCGGTGTAGTGTCCTTGTCATTCTAAGAGCATATATCACTGGAAATGCCATACCGTTCACTCATCGAACAAAACTTTTCACCATTTTTGGCGCTGTTGTCAAATTTAAGTTAAGAAAACTAACATATTCGGCACCAAAATCTTTCTTTCGACGTTGGAATCAAAGACTTTATATAATACCTAGACTGTGCACCATCGCGTGAAAAACAGTCCGGGCGAGAGGGCTTCCAATGGTAGTGTGTTCCTTTCTAATAAGGTGACCATATTCGCGTAGACCATAACGCGGGACAAAATTTGTTATTAGTATTTGTTATTTAATATAGCTTGTAAAGTGGATTGTGTTTAGTATCAGCTACTATCTAAACATGTACGTAATTTGTGATGTTAAGTTAAAATAAAAACAAAAACAAACAGACTTGACGAATCCTACAAAACAAGGAAGTAACCGCGACCGCGTTATTTAATAATTCATTCATGAAATTCACACAACTCATATTACGAAAAAAAAACTCATTTACCTCCAAAATTCATGGTTCACCTAATTGATTAAATATGATTGATAGTTTTACTTACCCGTGAAAAGAAAAAGGGCTACTGGGATAAGATTCATTGAAACACCCTGTTACACAACACGAGTTCACCATTTAAAAAAATACACTTTAATAAGCAAATTTACAATATTTCAAATCAAAGCGGGTAAATCAATTTAACGATCAAGTGAACAAATCACCATCTTACATTCAGTATTACCAGGCTCAACCATTTAAATAGTACTTTTACTCTGTATTTAGATTTATTTTAAAAATATCAATAATTATTTTATTATTTATAGGAACTGTAGAAATGTTTAAATACGTTTCATAGTTTACGGATCGGTCGTATCGGTAATTAATCAGTAAATCACAAATAGAAAAGGATGACATTTTCTACCATACCCAATGATAAATTGAGCTGACAAGACGTTAGAAACACTACCGTTGGGTACTTTCTCACTCAGCCCCTCTAGCATGACCACCGAAACGGGATATGTTAAAGATATTTAACGGCATTAACTGTCAGACTACTATGGAGTTTGACAGTAGTCTAACAGTTAATGTCGATATATCGCTTTATCAGTTATTATATAAAGTCTTTGATTGGAACATGATAATGGATAAAAAGTAATTTATATCGATGCATGAAAATTGTAAACAAAGTGTCGATTCTGGCATGCATAAATCTCTAAGCTAAAAACGGTTGTTTTCTAATTACAGAGCATAATGCGACTCAGTGGCGCACAATGCCGAATTATGCTGATACATAATTGGAACGTGAATTAGTTTTCAAATGCACCAGCAGAGTGCGCTATGAACAGTATTGAAAATGTTTGAAAAAGTCAATGTTTGTGCTTCATCCATACTTATATTTATTTTTGGAGTTTACTCCTTAAGAATCGATTTGCATATATAAGGGGCCCGGTATGAGAAAAATGTGAGGAGTAAAATCTATCGATGAATGACCTCGTTACGTTTTTGGTGCGCATCCCATATCGCGCAACTTTGACAAACAAAGATGACGGATTGACATTAATAAAAAAATTAAAATCTGAACTGAATTTAGTTATTGTTTCTGATAGAGCAATGGGGACAACGAGGTATGGTACAACCATTGATGCGGTATTTTTAAGATTCGTGAACCACGTATCTACGAACGTCCATGTGTCTTATTTTAGTTACCATAAACCACTTGTCACTGTAATTAATAATGCAGACAATGTTGATTTAATTAATATTTAAAAAAATGATAATAGTCTGATAATAATAATTACATAATTTATCAACATTCCTAATGATATATTTATGCACATCTGAAATTGACTATTGTAAAAAGTTTAATGTAAAATATTTCGTCGATTAGTTATAATAAATGTATATGAAATGAATAAATATAAATTTATATATGTATATTATTTTCATTAATTTGTTAATTTACCCTTTCATACAGTATCAATCTTTTTTAAGTAAAATAAACTCTTTTTGCGTCTGGTTAGACTATCGAACTTAAGGAGTAAACTCCAGTCGTGCGTCGGAGCTGACACGCACAATTTTTTTTAACAGTTTGAATTAATGTGAATTAGTGCATTCGCCCGGATTGCGAAGGGTGCGGGTTCGAGTCCCGTCTGCTGCCTGGTCCGCGTGGATTTTTTTCTAGTTATATTTTCTTTAGATTTAAACATCAAGCAGTTACATGCTTTAAAATAATAAAAATTATAACTATAATTGCTATTTCTTCTTTCAAATGTTTAATACTTGTAAAAGTATTAATTTGACATTGTGGGTTACCTATAATGCGAAGAGATGGCGCTGCCTTGCAGATTAAGAATGGCTAGAGGAATTTCGACGCGGTCCGTGAGGGCTGCGGTAGCATAATTGGTCAGTGCATTCGCCCGGATTGCGAAGGGTGCGGGTTCGAGTCCCGTCTGCTGCCTGGTCCGCGTGGATTTTTTTCTAGTTATTTTTTTTCTAGTTTTTTATAGTTATATTTTCTTTAGTTTGAATTAACTTTGATTATTTAAAAAAAAAACTATTTAATGATACGAAAGCTTTAATAATTTTTCAACAATAAATAATATTATAAATAATAATATATTATATAATATATAAATAAAACATTTCGATCAATGCCAACTTAAAGAAAAAACACTTGTTAATTTTCTGTCACTGAGTTGGTACGATTGCACACATCACACGAAAGCATTACTTTTGAGAGTGCTCGATTGTGCGAAGCGTTGCTGTAGTTGAAACACTCAATGCTAAGCATTATGCCGCATAATGCGCTATAATGCTGTTATTGGAAAACTATCATAGCAGTCACTCCTTTTCATTCTGTATAGAAAAAAACAAGGTCACATTGTTGTCAAAAATTTTAGTTTAAAGAATTATGCTAGCATCGACACCACAATCAACTTACTATTTTGATGTGTAACATGAAGTTTGGGAAGCGCGCGCTATTTGATTTGATTTTAGAACATAATGTTCAAATGGCTTATTCCTTTTGTAGTAGGTTTTATTTCTTTTTTTACTAATATAAGATGAGGTTTCAAATGTTACATTTCATACGCGACTACTGTAAGGCTCGCTCGTTTTTTTTTCTTTTATTAAGCTATTATTTATTTTTCGAAACAATTGAAGTACCTGAATAGTTAAGTATTAAACCTTTGGTAGGTGTCTAACATGTCTAATAATACAAGCTCGGTTTTTATCAACAACCCTTACGTTTCCAAGGTTTGATTTTTTTTACTTTATTTATTTAATAAATAAATATTTCGAAAAAATCCCAAGATAAGAAAAACATAACAACCACGACATAGAGGTTAGAGAGCAGAACGATCGCTGTAGAAAATCTTCTTCTTCTTCTTCATCGTGGTTTCCTCATGGCTGAGGGTCGTGACCTTTCAGGACAGCACATTTCACCAACGATCTCCAGACCGTTCTGTGTTCTGCAAGGCGGATGGACGCCTGCAAGTTGCCATTCGTAGTTTCTTTAACTATGTCCAACCACCGGGATGGAGACCTGCCCCTACTTCTCTTGCCTTCCACGTTTCCCACCCACGACCAGAAGCTTTTCAAAATTATCCGGGCTTCACCTAGCTACGTGACCGAAGTATTTTAGGAGGCGCTGCATGCAGACAGCAGAGAGACGCGTCTTCATACCCAGCTCCTTCAAGATAGATGCATTAGTTCTTCGTGCGGTCCAAGGTATAAAATAGTATCCCAAAAATATGGACAAGTTAAGTGAGGCGCTGCGATCGCTAAGTTGTGTCAATAAAGTTTTATCTGTACTTTGTGGCCACCGTGCCACGGTTGCCAACCGTACTAGATTTCTTGTACAAATACGAGATTTCTGTGGGTCAATTATGTTTTTAAATGCCGTTTTTATGTAGCAGCTCTAGTTTTGGAGTTACGAAGTGACAGGGTTTTTCATTGAAAATGCACATAGTTTAAGTTTAAAATATTTAAAGAAAATATAACTAGAAAAAAATCCACGCGGACCAGGCAGCAGACGGGACTCGAACCCGCACCCTTCACAATCCGGGTGAATGCACTGACCAATTATGCTACCGCGGCCCTCACGGACCGCGTCGAAATTCTTCTAGCCATTCTTAAGCTGCAAGGCAGCGCCATCTCTTCGCATTATAGGCAACCCACAATGTCAAATGAATATTTTTACAAGTATTAAACATTTGAAAGAAGAAATAGCAATTATAGTTATAATTCTTATTATTTTTAAAGCATGTAACTGCTTGGTGTTTAAATCTAAAGAAAATATAACTAGAAAAAATTTCACGCGGACCAGGCAGCAGACGGGACTCGAACCCGCACCCTTTGCAATCCGGGCGAATGCACTGACCAATTATGCTACCGCGGCCCTCACGGACCGCGTCGAAATTCTTCTAGCCATTCTTAAGCTGCAAGGCAGCGCCATCTCTTCGCATTATAGGCAACCCACAATGTCAAATGAATACTTTTACAAGTATTAAACATTTGAAAGAAGAAATAGCAATTATAGTTATAATTTTTATTATTTTTAAAGCATGTAACTGCTTGATGTTTAAATCTAAAGAAAATATAACTAGAAAAAAATAAATAAATCCATAGATATTTTTTTATACGAGGTGCCAAATTACCCCACCCCCACCTGATGTTATGAGTATGTGGAGTCCTGCTGCGAAGATAGATGATGCGGTAGAAAGTGTGTGATCCCCCCTAGCCAGCCTGAATCCAATCCTCTACCTCGTACCCTGGAACCATATTCACCAGCAGAAACACAACCCCAACAAAAGGTGGAGTGGAGGTTGTTTCTCCAGACAGACGCTCCAATTCTAGCGGAAAATTGGCTTTGCCCGTTTTTCTTTGTTATTTTAAGTAATATGTGATTATTTTTAATACAAAGAGATGTTTTATTTAGTGGCGAACTCGCAACAGTTCATATCATTTTCTAAAACGTCCTAAATTCAATATTTTAATAAACCTTATATTTGACATGCTTAAAAATGTACGAATCCGATGTGATCACATACCTTTAAATAGCTTTGGGTATTTGACGTGAAAAGTGAACTCTCCAAATTGTACTCAGTGTGAGATGGTCGAGGGTGCGTGGCATGGCATGTGATGGTTGTAGTAGAAAGATACCACTTTTTTAAGTAATGCCCAGAGCTGACAGTGGTACCAATTCTGGCGTGATTCTCTAAACTTAAAACTAAATTTAACATCAGTCTCTCCTTTTCATTCTGTATAGAGAATGACAAGGATATACTGCTGTCAAATTTAAGTTTAGGTTTAGAGAATCATGCTAGAATCGACACCAATAATGGATGTTGGATTATATAATAGCATGGGAGACTAGATAGTGGTGTCGATTCCGGAATGATTCTCTAAACTTAAAACTAAATTTAACATCAGTCTCTCCTTTTCATTCTGTATAGAGAATGACAAGGATACACTGGTGTCAAATTTAAGTTTAGGTTTAGAGAATCATGTCAGAATTGACACCAGTGTCTCCTTTCTAAAACAAGTAAGGTTTTGTATAAAATCGTATCAATCTGTTAAAGAAGACGATGGAACGTTAGAACGATATGGCCATGGTTGACCAGCCGCCGTAGCATGAGTAACAAAATGCGATATGATAAAGCGATTTATCGACATTAACTGTCAAACTACAATGGAGTTTGACAGTTGAGTGTAGATAAATCGCTTTATCACATCGAGTTTTGTTAGTCATGCGAGAGGGAATGGGCCATAAAAGACAAAACCCTTTAAAATAAGGACTTTAAAAAAAATGTACGAGGTTCGAAAGGTAAAATACGAAATTTTTAACTGCTTATATACGAGGAAAAAAAATCTAAGGTTGGCAACCTTGTCACCGTGTTTGCCCCAAAAAACATCTGTGGAGTGGACTTTCTTAATGGTCTGTGCATGCCTTTCTCTTTTCTATGTGAGAGAAGTGAAAGAAAGTTGATGTGAAATTGTGTTAATATCTGCTGAATTCTTGAGTCCTTATCAATTGTAAAATATATAGCTACCATTAAAACATGTGTTTTTAATAGTTTTTGTCTTATGTCAAGTATGTTGGTCCAATGGCAAATGATTGATTGAACACTCGTTCAAAATATAAAAAATACAAAAATAATGCAGGATCAACAAAAGAAAGGGCATAAATGTCCACACGAAGGCTGTAATGCTACATTTAGTAGACCATATAGAGTGACTGATCACTTATATGCTGTACACACTAATTTGGTAAGTTTAAGTTAAAAAATTGATGATTAAAGGCAGCCTCTTCAGTTACCTGGAAAGCAACATTTTCTCACTTTCATTACCTACGTATCCTATTGGACTTAACCCACACTTACAAGCAGATAATGCCATAATTACCAATCCTGATTAAATAGCACTAAATAGTCCCCTTCTCTAAAATAAGCTTATTAAATTGACTACATTTCTTGGAAGATCTTAGTTAATGAATAAGCTTCTTTAAAGAGAAGTGTAAATTTTTCTGTATGAGATAGGGCATTATGAGCAAATCTTTAATTTCAGAGGGCTTATGAATGCAAAGAAGAGGGTTGTTCAAAATCATATTCCAATAAAAGTCATCTGATCAGACATATAAATACAGTACATAAACATATCCAGAATGATGTCCTGTACAGGTATTTGCTTTGTTCTTAGTGTCATTAATGTGTCCACATTTAAAGGAATAGCACTTTTACCAATCACTTTAAAATCCTAGGGTAGATTTATGTCTGTTCATTCAAATCATGAGCAATTAAAATATGAGATATTGTTGTTGAAAAGCTTTAACTAGTGATGCATCCAATACTGATAACAAATATATCTGCAATACTTGGGATTTGCCAAGATATCGGCATGGACGATATTTTTATGACCGATTTAACAAGACTTTTTATTTTGTGCTTTAATATTATAATGTAAATGCTTTTTTGTTGTCTATTTCATTGCAAATGCGGCGCAAACTTTGTATAGCCGAAAAGGGATATTGAGGCATCCCTAGTTGTTACTAATATTTTTTTCTAAATTATTTATAAAATAGGAAAAAAATGACTATTTTTTGTAACATTTCAGCTGCCCTATTTGTTTGAAAACATTTGTCAATCGACAAAATTTAAAAAGACATGTTAAAATTCAACATCTGCTCAAAGATTATTTCATATGTGATATTTGTAAAATTAACTTCAAAAAGAAAAACCAATTAAGGGCACACATGTACCAACACACTGGAATAAAATCATTTGTGTGAGTTCAAAGTATAATTTTAATATTTTTTACCACATACTTGACTATATTTTACTAAATTTGTATGTTTCTTTTAGCTGTGGGATATGTCCAGATAAAGCTTTTGTCACACTATATGATAAGAAACGACACTTGAGATGTCATAAAAAATATGACTGTGTTGAATGCCAGTTGCAGTTTAATGTTTGGTCTCAATACCAAAAACATAGAAAACTGGTGCATGAAGTAGCAGGTACAAAATCAATATTATAATTGACTTCATGTAATTTAAATATATTATTGTCATTGTCACATAATATATTTAAATTACCTTTAGTGATTTCAACACTGATTTTCAGAATACATTTGTAATGAATGTAAGAGGAGCTTTAAGAAAAGAAGTCATATTGTACATCATGTCAAAATACACAGTCCGTCACATATGAGCACATTGTACAAATGTCCATATGAAAACTGTCCAAGGTAAAAATATAAAAAATTTTGTTTGATTACTTTTATCTTGTAAATTTAATTGATACTAAGTGGACATCTTTTGTGAGGGTGGTTTCTAGCTTGTATTGAACACTTTTAGTTTGGGATCAACAATATTATCATTGTTTCGAAATAATAAAGGCTATGCCCAATTGTGGTATAATTTTGGGCTGTTATTACTAATTGCTTTATATGTACAGAACATAGTATTCTACATTTATTGTGGTGGTGATTTATTAAATTTTCTTAACATTAATTGAATTAAGGTATGTTTTTAATTTTTGATTTTCTAAATCACTTTTATAAATGAACTATTTCATTTACAGACTTTATACCAGAAATAGTAATCTCAGGCAGCATATTCTGATTAAACATGTAACTCTTACACATGAGTGTGTATTGTGTAAGGCTCAGTTGTCATCAAAGGTATAGTATTATTAATCCTTTATTACACTTTTACATTACGACATACATAAGACAAAACAATAAATTCTAGCTTACACCAAAAATATGGTCCTTAATTGGGCTCTTTAATTAATAATTTGGGTAATTGACTTTAAATAAATTAGTAGTCTGTCTTGAGCGCACTTGCTTGGTTTGAATTTCCGTTTCACTGTAATGTTATCTCACCCAATGAATGGGTAGCCGACTTAATTTGCAGAGATTTGATTCAGCAAAGTATTTTGTTTCCTGTGTGTGTGTCTGCATAAACATAAAAAAGCAACATACTGCAAACTTTCATTTGTCTTTTTATAACAATACAAGTCAGTCTCATGTATTTCTCAGAAAATTGATTAACTTTTTTCACTCATCTTTAATGTGACCTTCAACTTCACCACACTGGTGCTCCAATTCCTACTGAAAACTGTTATTTTCTAACCCCACTTTAAATGATAATTACAATACAATTATTTTATTTCAGGCTTGTTTAAAAAAGCACATGAAAATACATGAACAGCCTCCAAAAGAACCATCACCACGGAAAACGAAAGCTACTGGACGAAAGGAGAGAAAAGACAAAGGAATACCAAGATCAATAACAGCTCTCAAACTAGCAGGCTGTGAAGTTATTATAGAAGAAACCGATGAAGAATTCATTACTCCAGATATAAGAATCATTAACCTGTAGTACTCATGTACCAACCGCATTGCACAACCAGTAATGCTACAGGTACATTCTTGTCCCCATAATAGACATAATTGTATGTATAGTTGGTTCATCGGTACTTAACAAATCGCTGGTTCCCGTAGTACCCATGTATCAACCAACCTGTAGTGTCAAAGATTTTTGACGTGGCACAAATTGCCATATTTAAAATTAAATTTAAATATATTCTGTTTCGAATCTCTATACCACAACTTTTACCGAACCAAAGGAATTAGAGTGTTATAGGGATTAGAAACAAATTTATGTACAGTAGAACGCCGATTATTTTAAATTAATTGGGACCGGGGTTGATTCGGATAATCGGACATAGACTGTTATTTAAGAAAACGCACTGTCACACATAGAATAAACCTTATAAGTTTAACAAACACAGTTCTACAATACTAAATACGATAATAGAGGTACATAGTAGCAAAAAAAAACCGTGTCACGCAAAACTTTCAACTATAACAGATGAAATATATTTGGATTCCAGTGAGTTCCAACTTGTTATAACAAAACAAAAATAACTTGGAGGAAGGGACATTAGCCAAAAAATAAATAAATTAGTTTTAATTTTTTATATTACGCTTAGGACTGATTGGTTAATTGACGTTATACTGTATTTGAATTAGATTTTAAATATTGCTGTGTGACGGAGACATTTTTTTTTTTACAACAGGTTGTGCTGTGCGGTTGGTTCATAGGTACTATTGGAATCAGTGGTTTTGAAATAACTGGCACGACTGGTTGTGAAATGTGGTTGGTGCATGGGTATGACAGACTATTGAATTCTAATTTATGAAATCATAAGAAACTCATTATACATAATGAATTATAAAAGAATAATTGTATAATATTACATATACAAATATTACGTACAAGTATTTACAGTTATTTATAACTAAATAGGTGGAAACTTATGTCATGGTACAAATAACATACAGATTTAGGTGTCCTTGCAATAATTAACCTGTCGCCAAATAATGACCCAGCTCCCTTCCTTTGTCTGTTGGTTATAAATTTCAAATCTAATGAAGTGATGGTCTGTTTTAATTTGTTTTATTAATGGAATAGATTTTCGCAAAGTTAGACTTCGTAGCCCAACCTTCATAATCATTGCTTCTTTAAACCTTTCCATAACTTTATTATTATCACAATAGGAAAATTAAAAATGTTTTCTTTAGTTCAAAATCGTACATTTTTTATTTTCTTTATTAATAAATTGGCCAAGTGCGAGTTCGGCCTCGCTACTCGTATATTAGGGATCCGCAAAATTATTTGTTTATTTTTGTCACTTCTTAACTTACAAAGTACATCATGAATCGACGTTTTAGTTTTTGTTTAAATACAATAAAAATGGAACATTATAAACCTACCAAAATTTTACATTCTTTACTAGTTTTGATATTGAGGTAGCTCAGTTTCAGTCCTGTAACTCATTCCGTTACGATCTAGAGACCCGTGACGTATGGACAGACAGACAGAGTGACAGCAATAGAGTTTAAATGTAAAGAAAATTGTACTAGAAAAAAAATTCACTCGGACCAGGTAGCAGACGGGACTCGAACCCGCACCCTTCACTATCCGGGCGAATGCACCATTATGCTACCGCGGCCCCGATGGCGGTGTCGAATTTTCTCTAGCCTTAGGCTGAAGGCAACGCCATTTCTTCGCATTGTAGGTAACCCACAAAATCAAATGCATACTTTTACAAATATTAAACATTGAACATGAAAGAAGAAATAGCAATTGTAGTTAACTGCTAGATGCTGCCTGGTCCTTGTGGATTTTTTTCTAGTTTAATTTGCTTTACATTTAAACATCTAGCAGTTAAATGCTAAAAAAATAAATATAGCAATAGGGTTTTTTTTACCCTTTGGGTACTAAACTCTAAAAAACACTCGAGGCGGTGGTAGCGCGTAGGTTTCGCCCGTTTGTATGGAATTACATTGCTGTCTGATGTTTGTACCATGGTGCTTATGTATAAGGTGTCTTTGTTCTGTATGATGTATCCACAGTAAGAAAACAAATGTAGTTAAAGTAGGTGATTGGTTGTTATTATCGACGATATTACAAACCCTAGATACAACATCCCAAACAGAATCGTGTTTCCCTGAAACCTGTCCAAAAAGTACATTGGACGATCCAAGGACCGCTGTGAGATGATCGCGTAGACAAAAACAATATAAGCCATTTATTTAAACATTTAAAGTCATCAATAATGCATAGTAAATAAGGTATTAATTTTAACGCATATAAACCTACGTCGAAGAGTTACGACAGTTTGACAACTTAACTTACTTGAATCTTGGGGTTTTTAATATTGTTGGTTATTTATTATAATTAATGTTTATTTTTACTATTGCAGTAAGCTGAATTAACCTTTATTGATGTTTTATACTTTAAAGGTTATATTTATATCTCATAGTTAATATTTTATATATGTGTAAGTAGGTAGTTTAAGTTTAAAGTGACTGAAATTTATTAAAAATCCGCTTGCTGCAAAATTAGTCAAGGTAGCTGCTGTAGGGGCAATTTTTTAACTTCCAAATTGTAGTTATTAAAAAGTGATTGGAGCTCTACAGAATATAGTGTTCCTTCTTAGAAGGTAATTAATTAATATATTTATTATTGAAAATATAAACATTCAATTCTCTAATTCATTGTTTAATTTATTACGAAAAAATAAAATAAGCTCCGTTATACACTGCAGAAAACATTTAGTATATAATCTTTTGATTCTAGTGTATCTATGGGCGACCTTATCGTAAAGAGCAATCTCTTCTAGACAACCTTTGAATAAAAAGAATTAGAATTATGTGAGAGAGAAGATGGCGTTAAAATCATTACAATGCAAGCTGACCAATTACATGACGTCCAGAACAAAAACTGATTCCCCATATCGAGAGGAATTCGAATCAACCCCATGAATACTTTTGTTCTGATTTCGACCCCCTCACCTAGAATTGGTAAATCAAATCAAAATATAGGTCGGTTACTAATGCCTTAACATGGTTTTTACTGTCACTTGCGCAGGCTGCAGCCGCTTCTCGTAGCCTGCCACCGGTTTGTTTGAAACTTTGTTACCTATTTGTATTTTGAACGGTCTTTAAGCAACCAGTTGCACCCATAACTCAGACTAGTTACTCCGTGTTTTGTTCATATCACTCAAATGCCATTTGTCATTCAATGAACAGAGACATAACAAAGAGTAAGTAATCTAAGCTTAGTCTTCGTTTATTAGTAAAGGGGTTTGTGTATGGGTTTGGATTTTGCAGCCCAGCCTTGTGCATAATCTATGGCCGTATGAAAAAGAAAGCTGAAAGCCGACCAGCGCTTGTCGGCGGTGACACTGCCATTTTAAATTAATAAACAACGATAACAGGTTTTTTTTAATAGATAGATGAGATTTTAATGTAAGATAGAGGGGAACCCATAATAATGAAAATTTTATTTTAGCAAAGTTTTACCTAAAATTCAAGTAACTAAACATTAAACTTAACATTAAGACGTGTGCTATTCTTTGGTATAATCTCTAGTATGGCAATACAATAATTGCACCTAATGCTAATCAATGAAAATTATTATATTTTTTCCTAAGAAAAAGAAACAAATAACAAATGAAATAAATTTTAAAATTGTTTTTGAAATGGAGATTTGAACTACGGCATCTAACGTTTGTTTGTTGTAGGTACTGCTATGTTCGTTTAAGTCAGAAGCAGCTGATGAAATCTAGAGATAGTTAATGAGTTGTACTTCAGTTGCGGCTTGGTACACGTAAAAAGACCGTTAGTAGAAAGATCAAATCTGCCAGGTTGTTTCATAGTGAATAAACTAAAATCTGAAAATAAAGAACGTCGTTATAAGCGCCCTCTGATGTTCATTTGCAGTACTACTATGAAAAGACAAAAGTTGATTCAGACTTAACATTAACCGACTTAACACTAGGCTGTATAGGCATTGTTCCCTTTGCCATTCCTGAAAAGTGAGAATCATAAATAAGTGATTATGCTGATGCTGCTGTAGTGAGAAACGACAGATGTGCTGTGAGAGATAGCTGTACCATATACAGATCTCATGCCTAGCCTCAAACTAGAAATCAAGGCTCGACCACTGGAAGATATCTCTGCAAGAGAAAGGAAAATGGCTTGGAGAAATTCAGAAAGACATACGTGCCTCCTGGTTTGATAAAGGACAGTACAGAACAAGAGATTTTTATACCAATATATGCAGACGTAGAATAGGTCATTGCCTTTTTAAAGATCACCTGTACCGGCTCAAGATGGTCAGCTCACCTGTTTGTAAATTCTGCAACATAGATAATCAGTCCCTGGACCATAGCTTTTTCTTTTGCGGTTCATTTCAAGTACAGAGAAATTTGCTGCTTCAAGACCTTCGAAGTACTTTTGGCGAAGAAACCATCCCACGCGACTTGAGAAAACTTTTACAAAATAAAGTCACCTACATTCCTTAAAACAAATTTGTAAAAGCTACAATCAAAACACTAAGAAAGAAAAGTTAACAGACAGGGCTGTATGGACTCAGAATCCTTTGCCCGTCCCAACAGGGACAAACTAACCAAAAAAAGTGAAAAAATGACAGCTGCCAGTGTCAGAATTCCGTCAAAATCAATGACATAGAATCATAGAGAAAAGTAATACACTGGAAATTAGATATGTGTCGTTACGCGTTTTCTAAATAACACAACGAAACGTTACCGGCGTTCTCACAACGTTGTCGAAAACGTCTATTTTAAAACGATCTATTTTACAACCACCACGCAAAGTCAATATGTTCAAAAAACAGTTTATTTTGTAAAGGTTCGTTTTTCGATTAAGACGATCTATTTCACAACCACCATACAAAGTCATTTTGTTTTAAAACAGTTTTTTTTAAAGGTTCGCTTTTCGATTGAGACGATTTATTTCACAACTACCACACCAATTCAATATGTTTTTAAACAGTTTGTTTTTATAAAGGTTCGATTTTTGATTGAGTAAATTTGACGTTGTTTGAGGTTATCAACCCTTCTATTTGTTATTGTTTACTAATGATTTGATTTTAAACTCAAATTAGCTCATTGCTACAAAAAAAAGTGTTACAATACTACCATTCTTTACGTTGTCACTTCTCGTGAAGATATCAAAAAAACGCCACAGCAAGCAACGCCCTGTGTCATGTTATTGTACAATGTGGCGACGACAACGGGAGAGAGAAATTTAGCGTTGTGAGAAATAGATCGTTGTGGGAAATAGATCGTTGTCAATGTCACCCATAACGTTTGCGTTGTGGCTCAGCGATAACGTTGTGAAAACGATTTATGCTATATAACGCCCACTCCTACTGGAAATTCTATAGTTTAGTACCTAATCTGTGATTCTTCTAACCTCTGAATCTGAAATTCTTTTATGGTTCAAAAGTTTATAAACTGAACCAGCCGCAGACAAAAAAATCTATGTAAATATAAATAAATTATTTGATTCTCTCAACTCAAGAATTTTTTAGGCAGTATAATGGAATTTAATTTAAATATTTTCACACTTAATTGTTGGTAAGTAAACTTTTTTCGTTGATGTATTTAAATTTCGCCAAGTGATATTGTTATACAAGAAAATTAAAAAAAATTTAAAGTATGAGATAAATGCTCAAAGTATATTCATATTTATTTATAATTAACTGGGTTAAGATTACAGTATTTTGTTTTTATTTACAGGGGCATACCTATAGTTTCTAAGAATCGTAAAGAAAGAATTAGCGCTTTAACTAAATATCTGAACACTAGTGAACATACTATTGTCTGTTTACAAGAAATTTGGAGTGAAAGTGACTATTTGTACATAAAAGACAACCTTAATAAAATTCTTCCATATTCCTACTACTTTTATAGGTGTGTATGAAAGCTTATATTATTATTGCTGTAAGGTAGAAAATCCCATTTTTTATGTGGTCAGGAATTCTTCCAACTATAAGATAAAGAAAAAATAATTATTTATATAAATAGTTTAATGTATATGAGTTACAGGCCCTAATTATGTTACCTTTTGCTATCTGCAATTTATTTAATTTTATTGTTGGGAATGAGATTTGTTATGTCACATTAAATTTGAAAGAGATAACTAAAAGTGTTATATTTCAGTGGGGTACTTGGCTCTGGATTGTGTATATTTTCCAAATGGATTATCCAAGATGTTTTTTTCCATCAATGGTCTTTAAATGGTTATATTCATAAAATCCACCATGGGGACTGGTTTGGAGGCAAAGGTGTAGGTCTTTGTCGTATAAAATGTGGAGAAAGGTTAATCAATATATACTGCACCCATGTAAGTAAATCATAAAAAATACTAAATACTCATACTCAGAGTTCATGTTACACTCATTATTCCAGCACATACTATGCTATACTATGCAAAGAAAGATTTTTAAAAACAAATTACTCCAAAAATGCCTACTGCAACTTTATTATGTATATATAAAATTCCCACTGGTTACCCTATACCCTGTACCCTGAGTATAATTTATAAAGTTTAATTTATTGTTATACTAAGTAAATGTTATATTGCCAAAACCAAAATTAATTTGATAATATTTTTATTTAAACTGAAATTTATATATATTAGAAAAATATCTTTATCCCTGATACCAGGCTGAAATAGAACTAGCATCTTCACTTAAGGGTAACTACACAAAAAAAAATACAGGAATTTGTGTTTTCCATACCCTAATAAGTTTAGGACAAATGACACAAGAACAGGAATCTACAGGAATCTGTAATATTCATCTGCAGATTCCTGTAAATAAATAAATAATAATATTACTATCCCACCAGCAAACATTACATGATTTTATTACAAGGCATGGGTCTAAGTAAGTAATTTTGCATTACATTTGTTTAAACAGTTGAGTCAATAACAGTTGGTTCACAATAAATGTTTTGAATAAAGTAACTTGGAATACAACTTATATTTAAAATCAGCCATTACTTATCTATCTATACTAAAATTAAGGGTTTGTTTGTTTGATTGAATGCATCAACTTTTTTGTTGGAGTGTCCATTTATTGAAGAAGGCTATAAAGTTTTATTTATAACGTCACGCTAAGCTAATAGGAACAGAGCAATAGTAAAAAATGTTCCAAAACTGTTTTTTAAAAGCTTTCATTGCTGCATGTACTGCATAAAAGTTTAAATAACGCAAAAATCATGTATGTTGGATTTGTACCTCTTTAAAAGATCTTTACCTAATCTTTCAAATTTGTCTCACAGAGATAATAAGGTTATTTTTTTCTTTCAAATTAACACCCAGTTTATTAATAAAAAAGGAACTAAATAAAAATTCACAGTTAACTGCATCAAGATGTTGGTCGCACTGTATTCTCGAATTTAGCCGACTAGCCGACAAAAAGATAATTATGTTTTAGCAAATACCGGATTTTATAATGCAGATAGACTAAAACCGTCATCCCGATTGAAATCATGTGTTTTTCTGATTTCGACCGCTTTGATCGGTCATCGATCAGCGTCTTACTTATATGCGTCGTCGTCCAATTGCTGATAGATGCATTCTGCACCCCGCGATGTGTTCACGTTAGCGACCTACCCAAGTAGCGCTAGTCAAAACTCTACTCAGGTCTGCAAATCCAGGATGGTGTTGTTGACTTCTCTAACTTGTGATGGCACTGCAAATTAATTTATACTGCCAAATTAGGTAATTTAAATATACTATTGATCTTACAAACAGCTTGTCTCTAATTAATACTGATATTAATTAAATTAAGCATATAAATATTTTTCATATCAGAGGTGTAGTGGGTCTTGGCAGCCCAGGGCTATTAAAATTTTACCACCCCTTATTTTATTAATTGTATGACATTTGATTCTATTGTAGATAAATATGATTTAAAAAATAAAACATGAAAGTTAATTAATAACACTTTATTGAATAGTGTATTCTTGTTTAAACCATATTGGACTTATTGTCCCATCAATCCCCAAGCTGCATTTAATAATACCAGTAGAGATTTCTGGACTTGATTAAGAACAGCTACTAGCATAGTTAATGTAGAAAATGTATTTTCTATAATTGCCATATTTGTCTGTCTGGATTGTAGGATTACTATATTTTCCTTGAAATTGGAATGTATATTTTTTTATTATGTTAAGTACTTAATATACATGCTTTTGTTATTTACTTCTTTAAACAGTTACATGCTGAGTACCATGAAGACGACATTTACTTGGCACACAGAGTACTGCAAGCCTACTCTACGGCGGAACTTGTAAATCTAACCAGAGAACCTGCAGATGTATCCATTATCGCAGGAGACCTTAATACTTGTCCAGGTGATCTGTCTTACAGGTGATTATTGAAAAGATTGCTAAGTTTTATTAATATTACAATAGGGATGATGACGGAGTAAAGTAAATAAAATTCTATTTAGTTATCAAAAAATAATGGTCATTATTTTTTTCTTTTGTCAATGAACTAAAAAAAGACAAAGATAGAGGGCGTCAAAGTTTTCGTGTGGGGGCTTGTGACGTCACTTATAAGTAAAAATTGTACCAGGACGTGACTTCAAGCGACATTTCAAATCAGACCAATCTATATTTCTGTAATGTTTTGATTATGTGATAAAAGAAAAAAATAAGTATACAATACTTTTTCATAATCTACCTGATAATGTAAGAAAAAAAGTTAAGTCATCATCTCTATTGTAGGTAGGTTGGCTATATGCTAAATCTGTATTCAATATTATTTAGAAATATTATACTACCTGTGTCTAAATAATCGTCGTCGTTAATGAAAATTACCTATTTTATTGAATTAAATCTGTTCCAGGATTATCACACAACTGCCTTCTTTAATAGACCCCTTCGATTTGCCATGTGAAGGAACAAATCCAACAATAAGAAAGCCTTCTGGAACAAGCGAAACTGCAAACAATAGCTATACTGATAAGAAACAGGCAGAAACTCTTCCAGAGGGAAAAAGAATTGACCACATATTATTCCATGTCAGTCCATCATGGGAGGTAAGCGGAAATGAGATCAAACATAACATTCCATTTTTCGGCATCTGTAAAAGACGAAATCAAGCGCTGTTCAAAGGATGCTAAGCAAACGATTCCACCCCCCTTAGTATGGGTAACAGCCAAGCATAGGTTGAATCCAAATGCGCAGATAGCTTTAAAGTAGCATTATTTAAATGGAAAGTGGCTACATGAATTATCTCATGAGTCATTTTTCAATTTGACAACTCTGTGTATAATTCTTTCTTCTTCGTCGTTTGCTCATAGCTGAGGGTCGTGACCTTTCAGGACAGCTCAATTCACTAGCGATCTCCAGGCCGTTCTGAGTTCTGCAAGTTGCCATATGTGGTTTCCTCAACTATGTCCAACCACCGGGATATCCTGCCCCTACTCCTTTTACCTTCCACGTTTGCTAAGACCAGAAGCTTTTCAAAATTATTTGGGCTTCTCCTCGCCATGACCGAAGTATTTTAGGAGGCGCTGAATGCAGATTGAAGACAGACGCGTCTTGATTCTCGGCTCCTTCACGATAGATATATAAGTTCTTCGTGCGGTCCAAGGTATGCATAGCATTCTGCGCCAACACCGCAATTCAAATATGTACATCAATCCTGGAACGGACGCGTGCTTTTAACGTCCAGGTTTCCGAAAGCGTAAGAGAAAATCAAGAAGACCAGGGCACGTATCAGCCGCAATTTAGTGGATTTAGTGAATCCCCTGTTCTTCCAGATCCACAACAATCGCTTCACAGCAGCGTACACCTCGAGCTGGCTTAGAGGGGTCGGAGATATAACCTTCAACTCTCACCCGCCCTTGCCTGTATATAATACAGGGAGAAAAAAACAGCTCTTGCTGAGTTTCTTGCAGGTTCTTCTTAATAAAAGTAGATTTGCGAACCGATGACGTAGCTTTTCGACATCTACAAGTGATTGCCAGTACAAGTGCCCAGATTGAATAAAATATATTGAATTGTGAATTTCAGAAGCAATAGAAGAAATTCGACAATGTTCTCGGTAGCATAATTTAGGTTAGAGAGTCCGCCCGGCCTGCAGAAAATGCATGTTTGAATCCTGTCTGATGCCTGAACCGAGTGGCTTTTTCCTAGTATAATTTTTTTGAGTCTACGCAAAAATGTATGAACTAAGATAAACTGGATTGTGAAACAATCGCATGCAAGCAGAATTTTTGTCCCTTCCACTTTTGCGTCCTCACATTTATTTGCATACGACCGAAAACGGTCATGGTCGTATAGCGACAAAATTGCCGAAAACTTAGAGTTTGTTGAGTGATTGGCAAATCTTTCGTCGCAATATGAATTCTAGAGTTATTCCGACCCATATGTCAAAGTGCATACCTGAATATTACGAACAGATATTTAATCGTTAATTTGTTAATATTTTTATTGCTATAACATAGAGTGATATTTGTAGTCATAATAATTTAAATAATTTTACAAAGTATTCGATCAAACTTATTATTTACAGGCCAAAGTTATCAACTTTGGAAATCCCCTAGAAGACAAGGTACCTGGAGAACCATTTTCATATTCCGATCACAATGCAGTTACATTAGAATTGAAATTATCGGCTGCTACATCTAATAGTGAAGAAAAGAAATTAATCAGAGACAAATCTTTCGATGCGACCGTGGCGCAGGCGATTAAAGTGTGTGAAGAAGCTACAGAAACAATAACAAAATCCAAGAAGCTCTTCCTCACGTCTGGTGGGTTGTTATTCATGTTTCTTATAGCGACAGTCGGATTCTGGCCGAATAAAATAATATATGACTTTATAAAGATAGTAATGACTGGTTTCTGTTTTTATTACTTATTAATGGGAACACTGTGGAATAAGATTGAAATGAACAGTCTAAAGGCTGGTCTTAACGCATTACAAAATTTTAATAAAACTAGGGCTGAAGTAAAAAGCTTAAACACCAATGTAGAAGAATGTAAAAATATCGAATAGCGAATCTAACATATCAACTCGGAGGTCCTTATAGGACATAATGTATGTAAAATGTAAAATATCATTAATTGAATAAGTCATAATAAGAATAATTTGAACCTTTTAAAATCTAAGTATAATACAATGTTGAATACAATTCAAATATGTACTTGTATTTTCGCAATATAAAATGCAAGTGCTATATCAAATATGAAAACACTAATGACACAACTGTATTAATAGCTCAATTGTTTATAAAAACACAGTAATATAATGAGGCTCTTTTATATATAATCGAAATTTCTGTTTTGTAAAAAATCTTTGATACCTTATACAAAATGCTCAGTTATATAGATCACAAGTGTATTCTGAATGCACTCTCGAGTTATATTAATTGAATATTGCTCAATGTGCTAGACTATACCTATATTACGGCCTACAGGCACAAAAAATTGTATTAATTGGAATCAGTCAGTGATAGAAAGAAGCTTTTGAAACAGACAAACAGTGCCTTAATTTTTTTTAGAAAATATGCCGTAGTTCAAGGATCATTCTTAAGCACAACCAAAAATAATTACTCACCACGATAGATAAAGTGGCACAGGTAATGGCTCGTTCCCCATACATTGAATGGCCCCGAACGCACAGCAATGAGAAAATGCTAGTTGTATTCGGAATCATTCATAAATTCTCATCAGGAATTTGTTCAAATACGAACAACTTGAGGAACCGTGGCCTACTACAAATGTATAAGATATTATACTTAATCGTAAACGATGTATACTTTATACACTCGACTGCAAATAAACTGGGCCACTTGCTACCACGGAACTCTGATTTGCTTTTCTCAAAAAACTTACAACTATCAAAATTGTAACTACAGATAGTGCGTTTCCTGGTGATTAAAATGAACTAGAATTTATTGAGATTAATCAATTAATTAAATTTTTATTTAAAAAAGCCAAGGAAGAATCGTTTTCCAATTGTGGTATTCGGAAGTAACGAACGAAGCAAAAATACTCACGTCTGAGAAAACTAAGGAATTGATAAGAAGTATCAGACTACCTTCATTTTATAAAAAAGAACGATAATCGCGACTTTATTAAAAAAATAGCAAATTGAGCATTGCTGTTCTTGCTCGATTACAAAGTACTTAAGAATAAATTTTTACTCATTAATAATTATGAAACACACTTTCTGTAGATATAGCTTTAATAGCTGTAAGTTTTATACTTTTTGGAAAAATCTAATTAAAGTTCCAATGTACTAGCGGTTGGCCCAGTTTATTTGCAGTCGAGTATATATTCTGAATATATTTATTGTTTAACTTTTTGTAAGAACTTAAATCATATAAATTAAATGAACATAAAATGCTATTAATATACTAAAAATTATAATATTCATATTGATTTATGACAGTTGGCACTAGGGTTGCCAACCCTACTATATAAGGGGATCAAATACTGTTTTTTTTTTAATATATAGAGCGCGATACTACTATATTTTGCTTAAAGCAGACTTTTGTCTGAAAAAGAAAAACTGAAGTATTGAGGTATAGAGCAACAAAAATAAAGTAAATATTTTATTTTATTTAATTTTTTGTCATCTACTATACTTTTAGACATAACTACTTCGTGAATACTATATTTGATAGAAAAAAGTTTGTAACTCTAGTTGACACCTATGATACCTATACATACCTGTTTAATAATAGATTTCTTTAAGACAAATGAAATGCTTAAAGGCTTTTCATTTACCTGTTTCTATATTTTATTATTAGTAATTAGGTATATATCTGGTTATCATTATTTTATTATCATAAAAATAAACAGATATTATATGGGATGGGAGTATAAATTATCTTTACATAATTTCAGAAATTATCTACCAATAAATGTAATATAAATACTAGTGATAAGTATTATTAGTATTACTAACTAATGAAGGTAGGCACTTAGTTATATTGTTATGTTGATAAATACCTATGGTCGCGTATAATGCAGTTATTAAGGCTATCTATTCCAAATTGGTTAGAATAGAATTTAATTAAAAAGAACACTTTTATTTGAAAACATATTTTTTAATCTCATTGGCGGGAGACGTGGCGTGGGGCTACTGCAAACATGCACCAATTTCTCTCACCGCTTAAGATACCTGCCGCGACTTGTAATTAGGCTTGCCAGATGGCAGGGAAATCCGGGATTGTCCCGGAATTTTGCATCTCGTCACGTGTCCAGTAATAAGACCATATTATTATTGTCCCGGATTACGATAATGTGCTAGTTTCGTAACCAAAATAAACTAATTAGTAATGACACCAGTGGCCTCCTTGATGTTTTAAATCTGGAGGGTGATGGGGGGTTTGATTTGATGCTTTATTTTACGGGGGGGGGAGGGGGGGTGCAAATGTCCCGGAATTGATAAGCTAGCATCTGGCAACCCAACTTGTAATGCCATTTTGCCCCGCCTGACTTTGATTACCGCTTGTTAATTGATAAATGTTTACTTGAAAGAAAAATAAAACAAAGACAAACACTACAGGATTAGGACGACATGACAGTAAATTGTGTATTAGTTACAGAACTTTTAATTTTTTACCACAGTATGTCCGTTTACTATGATTAATTGCTAATAATGTACAAAAAAATAGTGAAGGATATTGGCTTGTGCACCTTTTCAATAAAACATTGAGTTTTAGATAACCTAATGGAATTGACGTGTCAACTAAACATCATTCCTTTTTTCCTTTTTTAAGACTGATAACCAATCAATATTATCTAAGATTTATAATTAATTGATTATATATTAATATATTATCTGTTACATTACTAAATAATGTATGAAATAAAAATAATAAGTAACGATTATTTATTTTACATACTAAATAAACTTAAACTAAGAACTACACTAACATTCTGAGCTCCGATAAAGATAATGGGCTAGCGAACGCTGCTGATTGTTGTAGCAATAGGGCTCTATTTTATCATCAGTAGCAGCTTCATTTTAAGCTTAGTGGGATCCTATGCTCTTGGAACGTCTTCCATTTAGATTGTCTGCAAAAGTTTTTTTATATACGTTTGTTTTTAGTTATAAAAAAATTAAATGAAGATTTTTATTTTAAGCATTTAACTGCTAGATGTTTAAATCTAAAGAAATTTGTACAAAAAAAATCTACTCGGTCCAGATTTCAGACGGGATTCGAACCCTCATCTTCCGCTATCCGGGCGGAATACACTAACCAATAAAATTCTGCTACCGATACTTTAATGGCCCTGTCGAATTTCCTCTAGTATTTCTTAAGCTGTAGACAGCGCCATAATAATGTAGTCGTCCGCTTGAGGCAGCTCTTCGTTGTTTTAATAATAGCAATAAAGTCATAAATATATTTTATGAGTTAATTATGGTGTAAATACCAAACTGTTAACCCTTCTGTCTTACACTTAGTTTCAATTATTAAACTGTAGTGAGAGAGCGAGATAGGCCTATTACAACTTTGTTGTCTAGATAGCTTATTCTATTATTCTTGTTTACAATAACATGCTAATATAATAAATAAATATTTCCAACACTCACACCAATTAGCCTAGCCCCAAAGTAAGCACTGTAGGCTTGTGTTATGGGACACTTTTTTTTTTGTCGATGGGAAATGCATTTACGCACCGTACCGCGCGCTGGCTGGGGCGCGCGGCGTGTGTGGGACTCCCCGGCGCGGAACAACGCCGGTCCTACCCACTAAAACCCACCGGTACCCTCCTACGCCCATGTGGGAGCGTTTCTGAATCGGCGCACCTGTGTGCGCCACTTCACTGGAACGCTCCCGGGTGTGTTATGGGACACTAGGGTAACGGATAGAATACATAATATACAGATACATATTTATATAGAAATACATATTAAACAACCATGACTGGAGTACAAATGCTCGTATCTTTTAATTTGTTTAAGATATTTATGCAATTACAAATAAAACTTATTTTAAGATTTTACTTGAATGACAGATTAAACATAAGATTGGACTGACTGACGATTGGCCCCTAGGCTAGCCTCTTCCTACAGCTTAATTAATTTTATACTGAAGGTGCGTTGGGACCACGCCATAATTTTGCGATATAGTATAGCAAGCCCATACAATATAGTATAGCGTGGTGTGAACGTGTTCTATATAAATGCATCGCATGAGTATAGATTGTAGTCTAAACGTCCCTTTGAAAATACTTATAAAATAATGGTATTACTTCTACCTATTTAATAATAATTTTCTATTTAAATTTGACGAAATATTCTTCATTTACGTAACGAGTGTCAATGACCCTTTGGCTATCTCTTCTTATCATCGCTCAATCAATGTAGAATTTTATTATCATGGTCTTCTATCAGTTGGTAGGTATGTTGATTACGCAAGCGCCTGTTGTTTTTTGTATTTGTTCCAAAAAACCGGCCATGTATGTACAGTCATCCTCATCTCATCAAGTTACCACAAAACCACAATTTGTTTCTAGCGATTATCAATCTTAAATCAGTTGGTGAACAGTTTGGATAGCCTGACCTGTGCTGTGACTGTCTGTACCATCGTACAAGAAATAAGATCTTGAAGTACTCGGATTTTAAGCTGGAACCAAAACACCGTCTCATTCCGATGAGCTGACAGACGGACGAACAAATATTAATTAAGCTTTGCTTAATAAAGGCCAAATAAGACGAAAGCACCGCGTAATAATAGACTCTGCAATCGTTGCTTGCTTCGGTAAATCCGATTGCTTATTGCCAGTACCTACTAGGCTAGGTGCCCTGATTTAATTTCATCTTCTTCTATACGGTGGGTGTTCTTCGCAACTCGACACCAGGCGCCTATTTTGCGTGAAAATTTCATCATTTAAAATTCCAATTCTTTTTAACGAGGCGTCATCGTCACTTTGTTGCCTTGGCGGGTAATCCCTTTTGGCGACAAATGCTTTAGTACGTACCTACAGAATGCTAATAATAATTCAAATAAAGTACGTACACAAATGACTTTTATATTATTAAATTGCACTTATAAAATTAAATAAATTATGCATAGTAAGGGCATTTGTCTAAATTTGCTTAATGAAAAGCGTATGTACGTAAGATATGTCAAACAGTTTACCCCCAGTTTTTAAATTTTATGTTATTTATTGTAACTAAAATGGCTGGTTAATGATTTTATAAAAAACAATCCGCGTTTTGTTGGATTTCTTAACCCTGTGGTATAAATAGAATAACTTGATAATATAAAAAATACGTTAATAAAATAAAATCTGATATAAAGCTTACATTAAAACAAAAAGGGAAGATACGGCATTCGCGGCTCAAAAGTGATCCGCTTTAATTGTGGTCCACTACCATAATTCGCTTTAGTCACAATTTGACATTCAAACACGCTGCGTGTACACTCAATATAAATAATATTGCGTATATTCTGTGTTATGAAATAAAACAATGCCTGCTTTTATAAAGAACAAAAATAGTTCAAAATCAAATGCCCCGGCAACGCTTTTCATTCGTAAAACTGTAAAAACATTTTTTTCTCAAAAATCACGGTTTGTCGTGAATATTATTTACATAATCGCCATTTTGTAAGCAAGAAAAGGACAACAATACGCTGCGTTAAAGCGTATAGTTCTGTCTCGCTCGCTCGATGGATGTTTATATACAGAAGTCACAAACGCTCTCGAATCAGAGTGCCAGAGATCGAATTTGCCAGATCACCGGGGGTCGCGATAGAGGTCGAGTAATGCGGCTCATTCTGAAATGAGCCTTATGCAATGCGGCGTAAGGGAGAAAGTGCAACGACATCTGCACTTGTTTACAAGTTATGCGTGTTACCTGCGTAGCTATAAGTAGGTATTTCGTACTCGCGGGTGCTAGGTAATTCTCAATTTAACAGGTACTTTCTAGAATGCGTCGATCGGCGTATATAAGCGCGATTGGCGCCGCGCAGGGACAGTTGAGTTTCAACAGCGATTTCGGAGCGAATCCAAAGGCGATCTAAGTGCAACAAAAGTGTTCAAGTGAAAGTGAGATTGTTTAGAGACTTGTATAGTGAAATACAGTGTTTAGTGAGTGTTTTGTAATTAACATTGTGTGTTAATTGTGTGGTGAATAAATAACTGTCAAGCGTGAACTGGCATATAATTTCGAACCCCATCCCGACACGTAACAATATTTTATTTGATGTTAGTATGAGCGTACCGTATCTACCCTTTTTGTTTTAATCTAAGATATAAAGATATATTTTGTTTTCATAAATTTGACAATGTTTTGCAATACTATTAAAATGTTGGGTACCATTTGTCCACATTTACGGATTTTATCCAGGTTTACCTTAATATTTGCTTATTGAAAAATATGTATGTAAGAAATGTCAAACAGTTTTTATGTTTACCTCCAGTTCCTACATTGTACGCTTGTATGTAAGAAATGTCAGTTTTTATTGTGACTAAAATAGCTGGATTTTTATAAAAAGAATCTGGGTTTTGAAATGAAATTATATTCAAAATTTGTTTACACATATCACATACTTGCAATTTTAAAGAAATAAGTTTTTCTTCACCAATATCAGAAATCCCAAATATAGTAGAGATTACTCTGCTTGTTAGATTTCTTAACCCTGTGGTATATAATATATAGTATAGCATAACTTGATGATGTAATATAATACGATTAAAATAAAGTCTGATATAAAGAAATATTTTATTTTCATAAATTCAACAATGTTTTACAATACCATTAAGATGTTGTAAAGTAATATCACAATTCATATGAACTATTAGTTAGAAATGTACATTATATACTTAATAATATCTTATAAATAGATCATATTAGTGAGATTAAAATTATTTTTATATATTAAATATATATTAAGTTTGTCCTGAATATTCATAAAAACCTTATATCAGCACTCTCAACACTTTGGTGAAAAACTGGAACATTGCCATTTTTATATAAAGGTACTTATAAGGGAATGTTGTATCATTTAATTGTAATAAAATAATGCATTTTTTGTGATGAGTTCGAAATAAATAATATATTATATCATAGAGAGTCTTCATATTGTCTTTAAACTTTAGGGTCATTATCGATTCTATCGTGAATATCACCCATTAAGGGTTCGGTGTCGGAATTGGAAATAGTCGTTTCAATGGAACCGTAGGTTGCGGGTTTAGTTTCCACGGGCGGGAGTTCGGCCTCTTCGCTGAGGCTCGGCGCAGAGCTGGAAGCTACAGGCTCGGCTACCAACCGAGAACTTTCATCGTATCCTCTTGGCATGTGATACATACTTTTTCCTCTGAGTCTCCTGCTAAAAGAGCTCCCTGTAAAAATCACATATAACTAATATAAATATTTTCGAAGATATTACAGATTTCAAATGCTGTACCCCTAGCACGAACCAACATCGAATTCGTATCTTTTGCGAGCCCGAAATGTCATTGTTAAATGTGATTTTTAGTTCTCGTTACGTATTTTGTGCCGCTGCTGTTCAAGTTTCCATACAAAATTTGACATTGACATTTCGAACTAATCGAATTCTATAATGGTTCGTGCTAGGGGTACAGGAACATAGCAGTTCCGGCGGTAACAGGCAGGGGCCGGGCGGGCGGCGCGTGCCTATTGTAGTTAGGTATTAGAAGAATGTTATGGTGTATAACACAAGCCTGAGAAAAAACACTATTGTCTACAACAAAGTACCTACTTAGGTACTTTGTTTTACAGTAACTTTGGAACTACGCAAGTAATGCTGTAAATGCACTATTTACGCAGTAAAGTTACTAATACTACTACAGTACCTTACTTACCTACTATACTACGAAAATATTATTACATCTGTACATCACTGTACTTCATATATAAAAATATTTTAATTCCATTTTTTATATTGTTTTACTGCGAATTCACATAAAATACTTTTACTGTTAGAGGCATTATTTGACACACTATATATACATATAGAATTGATAACGAGAAAAGTTCATTTTCTATGAGAACTATTATGGGTACGCCAGGTTGACGCCAGCTAAGAATGTTTAGTTCAATATCTTTGGTCCCTTAAGAGTATTGATTATGAAATTTTGTAAAGCCAGGGCACTATTTGCGAACTATTTTTGTGTGTCAATTTCGTTCCTTTAATATATGCCGTTCTTGGGGACGGCCATGGGTACGCTAGCTTGACGTCATGCTAGCGTACACAGTAAAAATCGTCTTTATTTCTTAAATTTAAGAGGCACTATTTTTTTTATTTTTACACTAATTTGGTACTATTTACGCAGCATTTAATAGCATAACGAAAAACCGTATATTGATCGTGGGTACGCTACCGTCACGGACACGAATTGCCGAACGGTTCAGATTTACTCTAGATGTAAAAAACGAACGATTCAGACTAAAAAGATTGATCAGACGCAAATAACGAACGCAGTTAGTGTATCAATTGCTGATCGAGTGTCGGTAACAATTATACTACCGACACCCAGCAATTTTTTACCCACATACACTCGTGTTTATGTAATAAATTCAGTTAAATGTCTACGACCCGAAAAATTTTAAAGCGATGTTTTACTTGCATCACAATTGAATCAAGGTATCATGAAACCACAGCATTTTATTTATATTGTTTTTCAATTTAGTTAGTGTGTGTTTCGGTAGTTTTATATAAAGAATCATAGTTACGACACAGCCCAAGGCTGCTAAGGATACTGGCAGGAGAAAGAATAGAGCATTAATAGAAAGAGAGAAAGGGGAATGTAGGGCGATGCAAGTTTGAAAGAGAATGGTTGAGAGAAAGCAGGATTAAGGAGAAGAGGAAGCTAAGATAATTATGAGGTAGGATAGGAAATAATTAATCTCAGATAACAGAACAAAATGCAGATGGAATGGTGCCAAATCAAATACGAAGTCAAAAGTAAAGACTTTTTTTTATCTTGCTGAATAGTTTTTACAATGTTTGAACAAGGCAGCACAGTTTAGATGCAAACAATATTCACGAGACGTATTCAGTGTGGTCCCAGCATCATGGAGATAACCAACGATAGAAGCGGCGGTAACTTAGGTAATAGCAAAATTTTCAAGAAAGCCGGGAATGCGAGTCGTTCTCTGACTACTATCTATTTTACACTAATGATGTAATAGAAAGGTGTAAACATAGCGGATTTCCCGTTAGAATTGGAGTTACACCTGGAGAAGTAACTTCCACTATACAGAAGACTACAGTAAATTAATTACCTTTTGGTAGTGTTGAGTTTCTATAGGTGAGTAAGGTTCCAGACAGGGTCGGATTTAAGGCAGGGCAGGCCCAGGGGCCCCCAAAACAGGGATAAAAAAACAAAATTCGACTGGTTACCAAACCAGGTGACAATCGTAAGTAATCATAAGGCTCTCACACATAGGGTTACCATCCGTCCGGATTAGTCCGGACATGTCCGGACTTTAAGTATATAGTCCGGACTTTTTCAGGATCTTTAAATTGTCCGGATTTTTAAAATTCCAGTGAATATGAATAATAAAATTACATATTAATTTAAATACCATAGCAATATAACTAAATGATGAATGCTACCATTGTGTGACCAAAAAGTCCGGACTTTTTTCGAAATGTAAGATTTTTTTTCAGAACTTTTAGAATTCCTAAATGGTAACCCTACTCACACATCTAAATCCGGCCCATCCATGGGGTCAGGGTAGGCAATAGTGCGAGTAATAGTTTTGGTATCACAAGTGTAAAGGTTATGGTGGCTGCTTACCATCAGGTGGGCCACATTCTTTTGACTAACATATCACTATGACTTAGTGGTATATGATTGAGTGTTTATTTTAGTTTAATAAATTAATGCCATTGTGTGGCCAAATGATGCTAGTACACTTAATAATATAATGAATGGAATGTAAGTAGTAATAATATTATGTAGGTATTTTTTTTAATTCATTACCAACAACACCAAGATGCTCCGATATATCCCTCTTGACATCTGACACATCCCACATTGCGAGGAAAGAGCCAAGGCATGATGATGAAGAGCTTTCTGTTTCTGGTGATACATATGGTCGGTACGAGAAACTGTAATGGTGTGCGATAGCTGCCACAAACATTTCTATGCAAATCAAGAAATCCTGTAAATAAACAAGTCTTAGGTTAACAGAATTATTTATTTGCTATCTTGTATTTGATATAAATATAATATCGTCGCAAAGTTCGAACACCGCGGAAGTCCAAAAAATGCCAATTTAACTTTTGCATGTTTTTTGATAGACGATCGAAAGACGCATCTCTAGACAAATCAGAAACAAGAATTTCAATCAATAGGAGCGTTTTATTTTGAAAACAAATACACAGCGTATCTGCGTGGCGCGGGAATCTTGCAAACAGCGCGTAAGTCAGTACTGTAACAGGTGGCGAATTGCGTTCTGAAGAAATACATCACAAATAAAGTTAAATATGGTTCATATTAATATTAGTATGTGTTTATCTAAGACATAAAAACTTGACCTTTGGTTTTTATCTAAAATTAAGTCTAAATATCGTGTATATTATTGTATAAAGTAGGATGAAATTGTTAATTTACCTACGCGGTGTTATGCTTAATGAAGGAATGACTTACCCGGTGTTGTTTAAAACGGTTATTAATACAAATTTTTTCAATATGCAGATATCAAAACACCATAGACTACGAAAGCAGTGATGATGACGAGGTTTTTAACCTATGTAGACAACTAGCAATAAAAATACCGCCGAAGAAAAAAATTGTGACCAAGGAAACATTAAAAAGCATTGACATTAAAAACTTGGTCGTTATATTTTTATTTTTAAAGCATTTAACTGCTAGTAGTTTAAATCTAAAGAAAATTTTACTAGAAAATATTGCACGCGGGTCAGACAGCAGACGGGACGGGCGCTGCCTTGTTGCCTAAGAAAGGCTACAGAAAATTCGACACGGCCGCCAGGGCTGCGGTAGCATATTGGTCAGTGCATTCGCCCGGATAGCGAAGGGTGCTGGTTCGGGTCCCGTCTGCTGCTGATCCGCGTGGATTTTTTTCTAGTAAAATTTTCTTTTAACTTGCGGGTTGTCATTATACCTGACAATGCCAACGTAAGCAACGAGGTAAGTGTACTACATGATCTTTCCGAATGCCATAACAATAAAATGATGGTAGAAACTACGGCTCAGTCGCCCATGTTACCGTCGAATGTTGAACCTTGCAAAAACAAGTATAACCGAATCTACAGCACTTATTGCGAGTTCCTTGCCTGTGAATGACGAGGTCAAACATGGTCATCTTAATTCTGGTCGAAAAAGATCGTTCAAAAGATGTGTGGACAAAAACAGGACAAAAAATAATGGAATAGAATGGAACAGCGTAAACAATATGTTATATCAAATTGTTCAAGTATGCCCGAAAAAGCAGGTCAAATGCAAATCATCATCATAGGCGTGGTAAGACCACAGAGTATTTTTTAGAAACTTCAAATGGACATTCGGTATCAAAGAATGGGCAGTATATTGGTTATCGACGTCTGAGCTTGGAATGGCAAATAAACCCAAACTGACTCATAAGGTTTTAGAAGGACCCACAAATAAAGATGAGGTAGTTTTTCTTAAAGATTTCTTAAATAGTTTTCGACAGGTACCTCTCATTACTGTAGAGCTACCTCTTCTACGAGAATATTTAGAGCCTATCATCGAACACAAGAATCATCTTTTCAAAATTTATTACGAGAACTGTAAATCAGAAAATAAAGAGCCCGTCAGCCGACGGACTTTTGATAAAATCTTTAAAGAAAAGAATGCTGTGCGTTCAAAGCTGGTTTGACAAAGACATCTATTGCAATCACACAGATCGAAAAGAGAGGAGAAAAAGAAAGACAAGAACCGAGCATTAGCAGGAGATGCACACATATTTACGCAAGACCTCCAATCAATAAATTTGAGTCCCATGTTGCAGGCTTGTGCATTATACTATAAAACAAAGCTTTGTGTGCACAATTTCACAATGTTTAACTTAGCTACAAAAGATGTCCATTGTTACTGGTTTAACGAGCACAATGCAGGATTGGTGGCTTCTATTTTTGCATCATGTGCCATAGATTGCCTGAGAAAAACTCTTTTAGAAAAACCTTTGCCAATTATCCTATTTTCTGATGGATGTACATCCCAAAACAGAAACATTGTTTTAGCGAATGCTTGTTTAGATTTAGCCATGGGATATAATGTCGTAATAATTTGTAGTGCATCCTAAATTGAAGTTATTTTTTTTTATTTTTATAGATTTTTAATTGACATTTGTTTACATTGACATTGTTTTTTCTTTTATTTATTTTTATTGACATTTATATATAATTTACAACATTGAAATAATATTGTTAATAATTAATGTAATTTTATAAGAATTTATAGTTAGCTTGAAAGGACGACTACACTATTGAATTAGGTATATACCTGTTATAATGGTGTAATGTATTTTGAATAATAAATTAATAAATTAATTAATAAATTAAATAAATTAATTAATTAAAATTAAAATTAATAAATAACACAGAAATTCCTTTAAAAACGGTCATACCTAAATGGAGTGTGACTAGCCACAGTGCAATTGAATGCAGACTTAAAAGTAAGGAGATATATTTACCGTACCAGTATGCCTTCATTTCCAAGGAAGCTAGGCCGAAACAACCTTTTACTGTAAACTTTTTATCATACGACTTTTTTTAAGACTACCCGAACATAGCTGATTTTTTGTACGAATCCATCCAGGCTGGCCAAGTCGCAAACGATCCTACAGTCACAGATTTAAGAGTTTTAGAATATAACCCTAACGACATTATTAACTACAAGTTAAACTTTCAGGAGGACTATAAAAAAATGCCCAGAAGAGCGAAATATAATAGGCCCAAGGAATAAGCTTTACAATAATCATCAAAAAATAAATGAATCAAAATAGAAACAACTGCAAGAACTAAAGTCAGTTATTCCTACTGCTGTCATAATTTTTATAATACTGTACTTCATTAAGATTTTATAATGACTAATATTTTATTTTTGTTGTTTTATATAATATGTTCATAAGGTACGACTGATTCAGCATTTAAGTAATACCGTCATTCCGTTTTGATGTAAGATACCAAATAATTATCCAGGTTAACAAACAGTGCAATAAAATAAAATTCTTAATCATTTGTTCTGAAAAGTTAAGTAGAACAGTTCAGAAGTTGTTGAAGAAAATGTTTTATATTTTTAAGAGGTATAAGTCTACCTGTTATTTTAATAGAAATAAATTATTTTTAGATATTTAAAGTGTCTTTAACTTACGCTGAGTTAAATTCCTCCTATATTCCTAATTTTAATGTGGTTACACTGCATATGTCTTAAAAATAATACAAATAATATTTTTTTACAACAACCTACACAAAAATTTTGACATTGATCTATTTTATAAATTTTCACATGATTGTGATTTATAAAAAGGCACTATTTTTTAGCTCTTCTGAAAAGTTGTCATTCTTTACTTCCGCAGTGTTAGAATTTAAGCTATGATATGCTGTTACATGTACATCATGGACATATTTCATATGATAAACAGCAAATTCAATCTTATAAAATTTCATTTATGAATACAGAGCTTTTATAAAAAACTAGTGAAAAATCACATTTTTTTTTGTTTATTTGGCACAGATATGTAGAAATAAGTACATTTACTAAGCTACACAGGTGAATAGAATAAATTGCACATAGCCTATACCCACTACTGTGCCTAGTTCTACATTGTCAGTTTATACTGAACCTGGTTTTCAAATAGATTTAAATGTTATATTTGCTTGAAATTAAATGATTTTCAAAATTTGTAGACACATGTCACATACTTGCAACTTAGAAGAAATAACTTTTTCTTCACCAGCATCAGAAATCCCAAATATAGTAGAGATTACTCCGCAATATACTAAAATGTTGATTATTACACCTTGGCTGGAAAAAAAAGAAACATTAGAATAAAATGATTTTATGAACTTAAACAAATAAATTTTATAAAAAACTTACAAGAATGAAAAGAAGACCACAGCTTTGATACAAAGAAACTTTCCAATAGGTTTCATTGGTTTCAACTCAGCCCTATTGGCTTTGTAAAATAGAACTAAGCAATACATAGCCACAAATTGGGAGAAATTATTAATAGCTATCATATAAGGAAAGGCAACTTTAGGGCTAAAGTCACTTTCACCATAAACTCCGCATAATTCACAGATCATTGAAATAACTGTGGTAATAGGCCTTACTACAGTATATTGCAAAATTCCATGTCTGCAATTGTGTACAAATTCTCTGAAATTAAAAATAAAAGAATCAACATTGGTACATATGGTCAATGTTAATTAAATAGTAGTATAGTTACAACTTTTTTGTTTGGCAGTATAAAAATATATTTTTTGTCTATAACAACTTATTCACTCACCTCCCCATTTCCCAAGGTGTCAAACAGCACAATGGAAATATATGATAAACTTGTGGCTTAGATTCAAGAACAGCTTCCAAGTCATGGTCCTCATTCAAATAATTAAGCAAATATTTCATGAAGTTATAAATAACATAGGCTTCATAACATTCTCTTAAGGAATCAACATATATAGATTGTTCAGGAAACATAAGACCTATCCATGCATTTAATGCATATATTGGTACCATCCATAGTACTCTGAAATATTAATTAAGTTGTTCACTATTATGCATCAATACTATGTAAGTTTAAAGTTGTAGCTTGACTTACCTAATTATATGTTTTTGTAAATATGGTTTTGTATAATGTACTATATGTTGAGTTATTTGCCAAATTGATATGGGCAATGCTAATAATACAAATCCCCCTCCGATTAGTTCAGCCTGAACACTTTCATTCGATTTATTGTTTATAGAATGAACAATCAGTAAGGGTACAAGAATGATAATTAATATAACGTAAAGGGCAATTAAGAATGGTCTAATCCACAGTCTCCATTGAAGAAAACATGTTGTAATCGAAGACGGACACATCTTTGTCTTTATTTTAATATTTTTTAAGTCGTTTGACAATTTTTAAAACGGTTACTTCCATACTATTTATTTGGCCCGTTTGATTAGCTAACTGCTCGGAGATTTCTTCTCGTTCATTTATACAAAAACAAGTTTATTTACAATTAAAATAACACTTCGTAACATTCACAAACAGGACAACAACAAATTTTAACTGACATTGACATTTACTTGACTAATTCTTTCCTAAACATATGTTTAATGCGATTCAAATAAGAATAGGACCGACTGGGCGCCATAATGTGACGTCTTAGCTGTCAATTCAAACAAACAGGTAGAGTGAGCAAAAAAAATTTTTTATTTAACAAAACTTATTAACTAAGATTAAGTGAGAAAAAATATCAGATTTTTTAAAAAAAATAATTTACTAAGATTGAGAATAAACACAACCGATTTTTTTTAATAACATTTCTTTAATACGATTGTGTGAGAAAAAACATTAATCAGAATCTAGCTCTTCAATTTTGCTCATCTCTGCATTACGAATAAATAACCATGCTGGTCGCATACGAACATGCATCCTTTATGTAAACGAAAGTTTTAAATCGAGTTTCTGAACGCAACATAAAGTGACATTTGCAACAAAGCTCAATAAAAGAAAAAAAATATCAACCAATATTAATTATCAATATTTGTTATTGTTTGTTTAGAATAGGGAAGATGCATACATAATATTTATGAAAATTTTATGATTAAAATGTTAAAAAAAATATAAAAAAACAATGCCACTGCAACGTTTTTATTTTACATAATGTTGTTTTTAACAATTATTACGAATTAAAAATACTTGAAACAGAACGTATTTTAAAACACCAATCAGCGTTTAGTGACGTCACTCCTGTTATGACAACTTCTTTGAGGTTATGGTTGTTAAAGTAAATATTATTTTATGGGAATATTAATTGCGTTTTTCTACTTTTAATAAAAATGGAAGTTGCGTTTATCAAAGCAGACTAAAGGAATTTACCAAGAGTTAGTGTTGACATGGTTATAACTTTTTTTGTCCAAAGTTTTTAAGTGTAGAAATGAAAGGGACTAAATTACTACGGTATGTAAAAATCGTAGTTGTTAAACTTCGTATTTTATTCAGCGGCTTCTACAAATCTTACGGCGATAATGTAATCGGCTATGTCCAAATTAAAAGAGATGGAGAATTATGTACAGTAAAAGGTCGAGTTCTCCGGAGCATAAAGTACGTAAAGAAGGTTATCGTGTTACAGTTATTTTAAATGAAACGCTAAGCTTGGTTCAGTCCTGCCAATATGAAGATTGTGCCACACATTTTAAACTTTATCTAATTTTCGACGTCATTCTCCAACTGTAAAATTAAAAATATGTTATAGACAGGTTTTGTAAGTATTAGGTAGGTTACTAATGCGTTTTTACGTACAAGCAGATAAATTAAGCATATAACAAGTATATTTCCGGACTTACGTCAAAGTGATCTTCACAGCATCGAATAATGGTCTTTGGAGAATAATTGTCATTTCTCTTTGCAGCTTGAAACCACTTTTTTTCAGTTTTGGCTCAGAAGTTCCAATCAAAAACAATTGATTTGGAAACTTTGTTGAAGTAGATTAGACAAAATATGAGTCAACACGGCTTTTTTTCGGAATATTAGTGGTATTGTTATGATCACATGATGTTGATGGATAGTCCATTTTAAATTTTTCAAAAAAAAATTCCGAAAGTGGAAAAAATATGCAAAAGTATGAAAATTGAAAGCCAGCGACGAACAAGTACGACCAGTGACAGACAGGAGTGACGTCATCGCAACCATAGGTTCGTTTTCGCGCGAAAATTTAAATTATCAATTTAAAACCGTATTTTTTCCGATAAATCACAATGTTTTAATTTTTTAATATATCTGTGGTTTATTCTACATGGAATTATTTAAAATGAAAACAAAAATAAAAATATTGCATCATCCCTATTGTTTGGTTTTTATTCTAGAATTAGCCGAGTGCTAAAAAAGGGTTCCAAGTTTTTTTTGCAAACTGTACTTTTCAAGCGACATTTGACAGTTGGAGGTCATTGGCTTTCCTATTCTTATTTGAATGGCAGTATCGCACTATATAATTTTCATTTATTGAGTTTTGGCTATGAATTGTTGATAACCTAAATCGTCAACCAAATGTCACTTTAAGTTGCGTTTCGAAACTCGATTTAAAATTTTCGTTTACATAAAGGATGCATGTTCGTATGTGACCTAGTAAGAGTGCATGATTATTCATAACTACTCCGGCGGTAATGCAGAGATGAGCGGAATTGAAGAGCTAGATGCTGATTAATGTTTTTTCTCACACAGTCTTAATAAATAAATATTATTAAAAATCGATCCTTTTTTTCTCAATCTTAATTTATGTTTTATTAAAAAAATCGGATGTTTTTCTCAATCAATCTTATTAAAAAAGATTTTATAATTTTTAAAGCATGTAACTGCTTGATGTTTTAAATCTAAAGAAAATATAACTAGAAAAAAATCCACGCGGACCAGGCAGCAGACGGGACTCGAACCCGCACCCTTCGCAATCCGGGCGAATGCATTCGCCCGGATTGCTTCATTTGACATTGTGGGTTACCTACAATGCGAAGAGATGGCGCTGCCTTGCAGCTTAAGAATGGCTAGAAGAATTTCGAAGCGGTCCGTGAGGGCTGCGGTAGCATAATTGGGTAGTGCATTCGCCCGGATTGCGAATGGTGCGGGTTCGAGTCCCGTCTGCTGCCTGGTCCGCGTGGATTTTTTTCTAGTTATATTTTCTTTAGATAAAAGTTTTATTAAATAAAATCTTTTTTTGCACACTCTATCTATTTGGTTTGAATTGACAGCTATGACGTCACAATATGGCGCCCAGTCGGTCCTATTCTTAGTTGATTCGCATTTAATGGGTAAGGCAAAAGATACCAAGCTCATACAATCTTGTTTTTATTTACTGTTTTTCACATGGACATTCATAATATACAAATAGGACTGAGTACTTTGTCCGATAAAGTGAGCCGAGTGTGAGATATATAACGGAGACCTCTTATCCTTTATAATAGGATAACGAATATCCATAACTTATATTTTTGGAATTTAAAACAATAATAGCTGGGTCGATTCTAGCATGATTCCCTAAACCTAAACTTTAATTTGACAACAGTGTATCCTTGTCATTCTCTACACAGAATGAATCGGAGAGACTTATGTTAAAAAAAAATTAAGTTAAGAGAATCATGCCAGAATCAACAAGATTTTTTAATAAATGATAATCCATAATTTTGATTTTTTACTTGTCACTATTTTTTGAAAATGTGAAGTTGACTCACTCAAGTTTTCTATTCCTCCATTTGGTAGACTATATAATGATTGGCCCCTTAAGCGGAATTCTTCATTTGTTTGTCTGAAATAAATAATTTTAAGATTTCGATTAGATGTCGTGAATGCTGTAAAATAGGGTTTGAGTGCCAAAATAAGAAGACTTTAAACAGCTCAATATTATTATGTATTAAAATATTTCAAAATCAACAAAATAAGTTTCAAATCTATCTATAGTCATTGGCCTTCGAGGTACAATGATTGGCACCCACATGTATCAGTGATTGGCAGTCTGGATATTTTTTAATTCTATTATAAAAACCTAAATATAAAAAACAAAGGTATATATAATGGCCTGTGCAGACGATGGACTATTGTCCGTGGAGGACAAAAGTCGAGTCCACCGAGAACAGGACATTTTGTTGCTCGAAATTTTTTGAAAAGCGCACACTATGGAAGTAAATATTCTCACATTACGTTGTGTTGTAGTTAACACGAAGATGAAGAAAAAGAGAAGACGTTTCAAAAGATAATACTGTGTCCATCTCTTTAAATCAGATCGAGCGCGCAACACGGAAAAGTTCGCTGTGTGCGTTTCTACGCCTAATCACATGAGTTTAAAATAAAATCGGAGATTTTTATTCTGTCCGGTCTCTCAGTGTCCTCGGTTGTTCGGGGGACTTTTTGTATGCAGTACCTTTAATTCGTCGTGTGCGTTACTCGATGCAGTACAACTGCATCTATTTCGACGTAAAAAAAGTCAGAAAAAAGTCCCTCTAAGCAGGCTTTTAAGAACTACATATATCTTATTTTTAAATTATATGAACTTATTTTATTATAATAGGCTAGTTGACCCTTTTTGGAAAAAGGTTTTAAATGGTTAATAAATGTTCTATTAGACCGAAAAAAAATGTATTGTATTTTTTTTAAACCTAGAAAGCTACAAATCTTTAATTTTAAAATAGACTTTTCATGGACATACAAAAACGCTGTCGGCCATTTTAGGCTATAGATTATCTATGCTATGATGTGAACTGTGGTAAACAAAAACTCGTAAACACGTAGAAAATTACTTTTAACTGAGTTTATAATAAAAAAAACATGATTACTAATAAATACCACGAAAAATAAAGTCATTATCATTACTGTATTGTACGAGAATATAAAAACACATCCACAGAAAGTCGTGGATTAAAGTGCCGAAAGAAATTAACCTACGCAACTTTATTACACTTATTCATAATATGTTGTATCAGTTTTATGTTTATTACTACATTGTAATACTAAATGCACCGTACTTACATAGATGCCTTGTCGTTTCTCTGCTCCGCAGAGCAGAAATCGGGGTTTAGTGCAACAAATTCACCAACCATCAATGCGTCAATTCTTGGCAGATTTGTGCTTTCTGTTTTCACAAAGCCGGCATCCATAATTAGTTTTGTCAAAAAAAAACTAAGTTTACTGTTTTTTTCTTTCAAAAAAAAAGTAAAGTTTAAAGTTTTATAAGATAAATTAGTCAGACGAAAGAATCCTCCTACAGTAACATACGAATGACATTCAGTTGTTTGTTTACCACAAGAGACGTCAAAATCATGGCGGATGTGGCGAACAGCGTTTTTAGTGTTTAAAAAGTATAGACTAAAAATTATTTTTTTAAATTAAATTTCTACAGCAATCTTCTGCTTTTATGAAGTGAAATCGATATATTTAGGTTCCTTAGACCAAATACTTTAAGAAATAAACATTTATTTAATACAATTCGACATGAGTCAACTAGCCTATTCTATTTACGCTGTGACTGGTTCATAAAATGTTCATGGTTGATCTCTTTGGTGATTGGAACTTTTATTTAAATATACAGGTTCCAAATTCAAATCACATCAGTCCCGTGGGATTAAAACGCTATTTTCGTATCTAAGGATGAAAACGCTATTTTG